CCATTTAGTTATCTCACCTCTGTTCATTTACTTTTCATTTGTTGACAAACAAGAATGTGAGACCGACCAGTCATGGAATTTTACAGCTTGAGTGCCATCAAGCCATGTTACCAACACCAAGAAAAAGTGCACTTTCCAGGACAAGACATCCAGTTAAGATAATAATAAAAATAGCTAAACATGAAGGTAAAGAAACAAAACAAACAATTGACACAACATAAATTTTTATAAAGGTTTAATGATATCTAAAACAATTAGAGAAAGGTGACTGCCCATGCCTGCCTGAGACAAGACGTGTGGAGATGACACCAGTAACACTTCCTCACTAGTGACATCAACACTGCAGTGGTTTTTAAAAACAGTTTTCAAGTCATTACTTAGCCATAATAATAACAATTTGATTCAAGTCAAACCAAGCCCAAGTACTGTCTTAAGACCTGCTGAGGAACAGTGGTGTTGGGCCTGCCTTTTCCCATGATGCCCAGGACAGAACAGCTATGTCTCACTATTTAAACGTGAATATTACATCATTAACCATGAACTTTCTCAGAGGTATCTTAGGTAAACAAAATAATGTTTTTTTGTGTGTGTCTGAAGTGAGTTTTCTTCTTCGTGTTCTATTTCTAATGCTCAGATCAGACCATCAGGTGGGTTGCCTCTATGAACTCGCATGTCAGCAGCAGGTCCTTCGTGGTTTCCTGTCACTTGCTCTGTACACTTTGCCTTGAGGCCAGGTGTCTTTTCAAAGTTATATGTAGAGTGGGAAAGTCTGCAGAATGTGCCCCGGGTGTTTGTGATCCTGTTTGACAGGCACACTGTGGGGACTGTTCAATTGTAGTGAGTTTAAAAACAGCAGACACATACGACAAATTGAACAATTCATTGCCTGGCATATTTCACTGCATCTGGAAACAGCTCAAGCTGGCAGAAGCTTAACAATAAGACCTGCTAATCTCATTTACTGCTATTAGAGGAATTAGTGGTAAATTTAAGTTTGGCCTTGTAAACCATGTGTGTCTTTCTTGATATCACATGACCATCTTGATCTTCCTGTGAGACTAACAATGTATTGAGAGAGACTGTGTGATTTGTGTATTTCAATGGACAGAGTTCAGTTTGTATACTTTATTAAATGTTGAGGTATCTCTGTAGCAATGCATTTGATAAGATACAGCAAAATGTGCCAGGCTATACTCTGTAATGTAATGTTTGTGTCCACACTATCAGATATATCTGGTAGCCATTTTATAAGGGGGTTCAACTCCAGAGCCATAAAGGTTGTATAATTTCCAGCCATGTCACTAACTGGGATCATATCTAGAAATATTGTAGGCAAGTGCACCAGTCACTTCAGTATTACAAACATAATGGTACAATCTTCAACCTCTATCAGATGAGAGTCAGCACCTGTGGGCTTGTCCCTACAGCAATGGTGCCGATTATTATATACATTTATATATATTCTATGACCAATTAACAGCAAAAGTATTTTACAGCTATTTTGGTCAAAAGCAAAATTTAAATTATTTTATGAGAAATATAGTTTCAAAATCTAAGATCAGACTTGTAACCAACTTTCAAATATATAAACACAGTTCCCATATTCACATATTCCAAAAAAAAAAAAAAAACAAATGTAAGAGCTGAAAAGAGCTATAAATTTTTATATTTTATTGATAGAAAAAGTGCAGAAACAACAGAAATTTACACACAAAAAATGGGACAGATACAAACAAGAACAGGTGATTCCATACACACAATTATTTCTGTAGGTTAAGGCAATTCAATGAAAGACCCTGGAGTGTGAAAAATCACAGAAAAAAATATTGTTAGCAGCAATTCACTAAAATAGTTTTGAAATATTCTGGGCAAAGAAGCTAAGAATAAATGAAGGATATATGATCAACTGTAAACATCTGGTTTCTCATATCACAAGTAAAGGCAAGGTTTTCTAGTTTTATCATCTGTTTAATTTTAAAATTTCAAAAGGGTAAACCATATTGTCGTACCATTATCAAGTACTATCTCTATATCAATGATCTTCTTCTTCAGCGATCTTCTGGTTGTGCGCATAATCCACCGTGGACCATAAACTGGAATGTCATCTCAGCTTAGCTGTCTGTTCTAATTGGTGTTGCCACATGTTGCTCCGCAGCTCCGCCAAATGAGGACAGTCTTGCAAGACATGTTCTGGAGTCTGTTCAGTACAAAGACAATGGCAGAGAGCTGTTTGGCTCATACCTAATTTATATTAGTGTGGTTTTTTTTTCCCATATTTTATTTGTCTGCAATTTCCAGTGCATAAGCAACAAACTGTGACTTGGTCTGTTCTTTTCAGGTGTTTGAGGGGAAAAAAATTGAATAGTTAAAATCTGTGTTGGTTTTTCCAGTGTTTCTGATTTTTCTCTTAATGAGGGTTTTGACTTCTGGGAAAGATAGTGGCTGGTACATTTGTGGTTTGCTGCTGCCTTGCTTGGCTAAAGCCCCAATGCTTTTACTGCCTTTGAGCCACAGCAGGTGAGTTTTTGTGTGTGCTGTTGTTGCCTTTCTGCCTTTTTTGACAACACAGAAAATCCCTTCGTTAGTCTCTGTAGTGTGCTGTCTGTAGTTTTGGATATCGAAGGTCAAGGGCCTCCAACAAGCTTTGCCCAGTGTCTTCACAGTGCACTCACACAGAGGTCTTCTAGTTCATCACTTGGTATTGTCTGTCTGTATGTGGGAGCCACGGTAGCATAGTGGCAAGATGCCTGTCTACCTGTCCGAAGGTCAAAGGTTCAAATCCACAAGGCAACCAAAACTGACCTTGTTGATCCAGCCTAACTCAATGTGTACCAAGTTCTGTGATGGTTATGTACCAGATTATCTTATACAGATAATATGAAAAGGTTGGCACAAATGACTAGCCTATTAAAAAAAATGTCAACTACAAAATTCAACCAACCACCAACAAAACTGTACGGTTTTATATGCTCTTGTAGGTCTCTGTCCTATAAAAAAGCAGAGGAAGTATACATCTTCTAGTTTGAACAGTTAAACAGAGGAAGTGAAAGGAAACACATTTTCCTGGATAACACAGTAGAGATATATTAACTATCCAAACAGAAAACATGGGAAAAGAAACAATAAAGTGACAAATAAACAAACTGAAAAAATGGTAAACTAAAGATACTACAGACCCATCAAACATTTATTAAGAAGATACTTCTCACCCCAAAAAATTAAGGAATGTAACTAACTTTTTTCTTCTTCTTCGCGTTCACCAGCTGTAAACTCTGGCAGAAAGTTCTGTGTGACTAACTGAAGTGTATGCTCCTATAAACAATTTTGTTTCTTTTAATTACAGTTGATACAAACAGAAAATATAATTATACAAAATCATCAAAAAGGCAACTTGTGGTCCCTAATTAAAAAAATATGAGGTTTAATAACATATTCTCAAAATCATTAACAATATCACTGTCACAGCAACTATAACATGAGGAACATTCTGGAAACATTTGCATTCACACACAAACAATTAACTCATCAGATGACATAGTGGTTATATGGAAAACATGAAATGTACTAAGGTCCCCTTGTGGGTTCCGGGGCTCTATTTTGGGAGAATAAAAAGAATGGACCCACAGTCTCCCTTTGAAAAAAAAAAGCATGTCATAAAAGATGTTTTCTACAATTAGATGTGTTGTGTTGAAAGGTATAGATATCACAGCCTAGCTGTAAACCACAACGGAATGTGTCCGTCACCCTTTTAAAGGCGAACAAATTAGTAGTAGTAGTCGCACTGGGAATCAAAATAACATGGCCCCATGACTTTTTATTTTTATTTATTTTTAAATTGTACCATTTCCAGAATGGAGGTTGACTGTAATGTATTCACTGGTACTATGGGAATATTACATGGTAAGACCTCAATCTCTTTCACAGTGCGCCTCTTGTAACACTCTGAAAACTACAAGAATGGTTTTTGCCCAAATGTACACCCACACAAAAAAAAAACATGGCTTCAGGTTTCAAACAGAGGTTGACTGTAATGTATTTACCATCAACTATAGGACTGCTACATGGACAGTCCCCAGTCTCCTCCACAGGGCCACTTGCCTACCACTGTCTGAAAACTGTATCCCCCCCCCCCCCCCCCCCCAAACTATCCACTGCAAGAATCAAATCCCAGGTAAAATTTGAGAATTGCTAGCCTCTAAGCCACAGAACTGCCCTTCTCCATGTAAAAGACAGTTACATGTTGCAGATGGTACTATATGTCTTTCTGTCCCAGAAAGAGGTTACTTTATCCTAAGAAGTCTTACTTTGAAGTAATAACTATTTGCATTTTAAAAAAAGTTCAAATTCACAACTTTTAGGACAGGGAGAGCAAAATAATTATGAGGATAGAACTTAATCATAAGACGGGGGGACATTATTAACTATCTGAGTCCCAGGGAACGCATCATATGTTCATAGGTTCACACCTAGAGACCCAATAAATGCAAGTTGCGCCAATTTTACATCTCTTTTGACTACCCCTTGGGCCTCTGATGCTAAACCCCTTGGGACTCAAAGAGTTAACAAAAGCATATTCCTTTTGGAGCACAACATCCAAGTGGCCTAGTATGAAATGATTTCTGTAACAGCAGTTTTCCGCACATGCCAGTTTGGACTTGATGGACAAGGGAGAATGTGCAGTATCCTTAGAACAAAGGCAGTATTTATTCAGTGTGCACATTGCTTGTTTAAAAAAAAAAAAAAAAAGACATGTTTTAAGTCAAGTGTGTAAGAATGGAGGAGACTGCATGTGCTGTGCTGATGTATTAGGGTCATTTGCAAATAATACAAGAATCCTCCAGATGTGTGAGAGACATAAGATGACATAATGAAGAGAAAGAAACATCCAGAGAGAAAAGAGCAGTGATAATCAGCTAAGGTAAATACATCTACATATTCCTCTTATAAGCACCATACTGAACAATATACATTAAAACATGTGCTAAAAATAGACCTTCGTCTTATTTCTTGAGGATCTGCTTGCCATAAAATTTTCTGTTGATCAGGAAGATGAGCAAGTTGACATTGATCTTGGCTTTGTTGAACATTTTCATGACAGCAACACCTTCGTACTGAAGCTGCAGCAAGTCCTGGTGAATAACAACAATCAAAAACTACTGATATGCATGTTTTTTTTTTTTTTTAACATTAAAAAAAAAATAAAACATAAAAATTACAAGGTTTGTCTGCATGTGCGCATGCGTTTTGTTTTTTTTTCCTTTAAAATACTATGTGAACTTGTTGATCACAGCAAATTTTTTGCATTTTTAAATATTTGCCACGGTAGGCGGACTTTAAATGGTCTTCTTCCTCTGCCTTTTAACCACCAATGGAATGGAGCACAGGCCCTCAACCAACTCACGCCAAGTACTTCTATCCTTTGCTTTCATATGCAACTCTCCCCATGTCCTCCGTCTTTTTAACTTTGCTCTCTGGCTCCCTTCTCTATGTGGGTTTTTTTTTTTTTTTTCATCCTTTATTTTTATGCCCCTATGGGTTCCAGTGCAAAGACATTCTAGTTATACTGTTCTCAGGTTTCTCAACGTGAATCCTATCCAACGCTATTATCTTTTCTCCACTTCTTTGTCCCCTGGAACTTGTTTAGTTCTCTCCCAAAGCTCTACATTAGTGATTTAATCATACCATTTAATTCCCTCTATTCTGCGCAGGCACCAGTTAATGAATGTTTGTAGTGTTTTAGGTGTTTTCCGAGTTTTAGCTCCATACAATAGATCTGATTTGACAGTAGAAAAAAAATTTAATTTTAGTATTAGTTTTAATTCCCTTTGACCTCCACAAATTTACCAGTGCCATGAAAGCTCCTCTTGCCAATTGTATTTGTATCTCTATCAGTTCCCTCATCTTTATCTTCACTACTACCCTAATAGGTGTACAACTCAACGTCTTGGCATGGAATACCATTAAGAGAAACCACATTACTATTTGCCCGATTTACTCTCATTATCTTTGTCTTTCTTTTATGGATTTTCAGATCTAGCTGCTGTGATCTCGCATCAAGTATATTTATCTTGCATCTGATTCCGTGAATGGGACAGAAGAGCAATATCATCAGCAAAGTCCAGATCATCAAGCTTTTTGTAGGGGTCCACTGAATTCCATTCTTGGTGTTAGCAGTTAATGTCTTCATAATCCAGTCAACTGCCAGTCAAAATAGGATTGATGATAAAAGACATCCTTGTTGTATACCTGTTTCTATTTCAAATGCATCTGTTAGCTTTTCTCTCATGAAGTAATCAACATTTAATATCTTTATATATTGCCTTTGCAAAGTTAATAATTTTATGTGGGATGACTGACTGACTGACTTTCTATCCCACCAGGACATCACACAAACGATAAACACCCGATGACACAATGTGCCACCATGCGGATGAGGATCGCCGTGGAGAGGTCCCAGAAACCGCGTTCAGACATCTTGCCATATGTATGGCCTGCCTATATTGCGGCCCCTGGCAAAAGCCAGAGTAGGGCTTCAAATGACAAAAAATGTCGTCCTAAAAAGGATGAAATTGGATAGCATGTGGGATTCCATAGTGCCCTATTAATTTCCAGAGAGATTCTCTATCAATGCTGTCAAAAGCTTTTTCATAGTCAGTGGCTATCTGGTCAGTCAATACAGGATTTGTTTGGCCAAAAAACCTGCCCAAAAAAAACTGGTCTTATAAAAGCTAATAAAACTGCAGTGCGGTAAACAAACACAGCACATTTACGTCACTAAGAATGAACAACGAATAAGAGAGATTTTTTAAAAATCTGCAACTGTGAAAATGGTAACAGGAAGGGGATAACAACAACAACAACAAAAATAGTTTGCAGTGACTGCACTAGCCATGAGGCCTTAAATCCCCAGGTTAAAGGGAACCCCTCCCTCTCCCCCAACATGCTAAACAGAGCAAAACCTCAGAAAATGAATTTAATCCTTTCCATGACTGAGTGCATATGGTAAAAAACACACCCTGAAACTTATTTCCTATTAAAAGAAGTTTCAATATATTTAATTCGTTCCAGTTCTCCAAAAATCAGCCTATTAGTTCCATTTGGGTTGGGGGGGGGGGGGTGTGTGGTGGTGGGGGGGTAATTAACAGGTTAAGTGTGTGGCACTGCTTTAGTGAGTTAATTCCAAACATGATGCTACAGTCCTGCATCATCAAGTGCCTTGTCATCGGGCTCAAGTCCTCCCTCAGCAACTCTAAAGTGGCCTAATCCATTAAAAGATATAGAGATTCTGTCAGTCAATGCAGCTCGCATCCTGGATTTCACACACACACACACAAAAATTGTTGACCTTGTATCCTGTAAAACATGTACCAAGGATCCATCGTATCTTGAGGTTCCACTGAACATGCAGTGAAGACTGCAACTGGTTTTACAGCCCTCCATATTCCTTACGGGCTTTGGACAACATCAGTTAACTAAAATTCATCTGGGCAGCCTACCTGAAACACCAGTTCCACCTTCTCCATGTTCACTCCCATAAACTTGGCATTGACAGCAAACACACCAGGATCATCTGTAGAGCTAATCTCAAACACCATATTTTTAAATCTGAGGACAAAACCAAAGACAGCTGATAGTATACAATATAGAACTGATAGTATACAATGTAAAACCGATAGTATACAATATAAAACTTATACTTTTAAACTGATAGTTTACAATATTAAACCGATAGTATACAATATAAAACTGACAGTATACAAAATAAAACTGATAGTTTACAATATGAAACTGATAGCATACAATTTAAAACTGATAGTATATAATATAAAAATGATAGTATACAATATAAAACACAGTTTACAATATGAAACAGATATTTTACAATCATATCATCAATTGGAAAATGTGTGACAGATTTAAAGCAAAATAGGCGAAAGCTGCATTTCAGAAAATGAAAAATATCTTATGCCATAAATCGCTCTCATTTAATATCAGAAAGAGGGTGCTAAAATGTTACACAGAACCTGTTCTGTTGTATGGCAGCAAATCTTGGAATGTCAGTGAACAAATTAGGAAGAATTTTGAAGCAACAGAGATGTGGTTTCTGAGACGAATGTTACGAATACCTTAGACGCCCAGAGTAACTAACAACGATTGCTTGAAAGAAGCTAATGAAAGTACATCTTTATATACCATAATAAGAAAGAGACAAACATGTAATGAAAAAAGATACATTGGAGAACATCGTGACAACTAAAAAGATCAGTGGGAAAAGGGGTAGAGGCAGACCAAGAGAGATAATGCTGAAACGATGGCATAGAGGGATATCATCAAGAGAGCTCTGTTCAAGGCAACCAGGGATTCTGATATGTGGAGACGCATGAGTGCCTACATCAGTTGGCAGGGCACATGATGATGAGTTTACAATGATAGTATACAATATAAAACTGATAGTATACAATACAAAACTGATAGTACACAATATAAAACTGATAGTATACAATATAAAACTGATAGTATACAATATAAAACTGAAAGTATACAATATACAACTCAGATATGTCCCGTTCTCTCCCCCCCCCCCCCCCCCCCCCCCCCCCCCCCCCCCCCCCCCCCCCCCCCCCCCCCCCAAAAACCCCTGCAATTCTGTTCTGGAATGCAAACACGACGTCCAAAGGTGCAGGTGTGTGTATGTGAGTGTGTGTGTGTGAGTGCGTGCATGCGTGCGTATGTGTGAGTGTGTGTTCACGATGTGTAAGGGAAAAGGGCAGGGTGCATATTATAAGTTTGACATTTAGATAATAAAAATTAAAATGCAAGCAAAGTCTATTTTTAGTATATATTTTTTAAACCCCACAGTTACTATGGTTGAAGAAATAAATTAATGCCAAGGACTGTGCGTACATCAGGTTGTAACATTATTAGTTGAGATAACCAGTTCCCTTCTTCAAGCCACTTTTCCTCTTTACTGCACAGAAACAAAGATATTTAACAACCTGAATTCATGCCTGACTCAACAGTTATAACTGCCTTCTTCTTCCTCATGTTCACTTGCTGTTAACTTCAGTGGAAAGTTTCGGCTGTCCACTTCTGGAATTCAGTCTTGTTCTAGAACTTGAGTTTTATATATACATCTATTTTACAGATCTGACTTATTAGTATGAAGACTGTTGGTTCCTTGCCTCTCAGGCAGATGCACTGTGACTTTAAAGGAGACTCTCATTAGTCAACTCTCACAACATGCTTGTTATGGAGGCACCAACCCCCACACTATAGGCAACGGGGCCTCAGAACCCACACAAAGAATAACAGTCGAGCTTTGCGACAAATAATTTCTAAAACAGAAGCAGCTCCCGTAGACATTAAAACTTACTGATTCTGAGTCAGTCCTTCAATTTCTAAGACGACACCTTTGTCATGCAGACGTGCAGCTGTGTATGTGACAGTTCCCTTCTTCTCATTTCCACCCCGTCGAAACAGACCAGACTTCTTTTTATGCCTGCATACAAACAAACACAGGATTTGTTCAGGAATATCAGGCTGTAGAGACATCATCTTGTGTCAAAAAAATATATAACCTTTTTTTTAATCACTTTCAAAGCCAGCATACAAATAAACACTGATGAGACCAATTGTAGAAACATTTTGTTTCATATATATATATATATATATATATATATATATATATATATATATATATATATATATATATATATATATATATATATATATATATATATATATATATAGAGAGAGAGAGAGAGAGAGAGAGAGAGAGAGAGAGAGAGAGAGAGAGAGAGAGAGAATGTGCACGCACGCATATACACAAAACTGTACAGGTTAAGGTTTTATGTATGTCACGATAGAGAGAAAAAAACACTAGAAACCTGCTGAGGATTCAAACCTCGTCCTTCCAAATGAGATCCCACTCTGCCAAACACTCCTCATAAAATATATAATGCGTTTATCCAGTAATGGAATTTCTGCTGTTTGATTTTAATATTATTATTATTCATCTATAATCTTTGCAAGATAGATTTTTTGATCTGAATCTATTTAGTATCGACTGAAGCCAGTATCATATCACAACTAAAATATTTTAGGTATATTAAACGCCACAGATATTTTGAGAGAGATTGAGACATATATATATATATATATATATATATATATATATATATATATATATATATATATATATATATATATATATATATATATATATATATATATATATATATATATATATATATATATATATATATATATATAGATATATATATATATATATATATATATATTATATATATATATATATATATAGAGAGAGAGAGAGACTTTATTTTCAATGGGTCGAAAATGGGGAGGGGGGGAGGGAGGGAGACAGAGAGAGAGAGAGAGAGAGAGAGAGAGAGAGAGAGAGAGAGAGAGAGAGACAGAGAGAGAGAGAGAGAGAGAGAGAGACAGAGAGAGGGAGACAGAGAGAGACAGACAGACACAGACAGAGCCATGAGGGAGAGAGAGACAGAGAGGGGGGGGGGGGGGGGGGGGGCAAATGTTTATACTCACTTAGTTTTATTCTGCAGATTGTCAAGGCATGTTTTCACATACTGGTTGTAGTAATCAATTTGAGATTCATAGAATGTGCGTTTCTCACTCAAGCTCTTGATGGTTGTGCGCAGTCGCTTGAGTTCCTGCTTGCGGTTGTTGCGGTACCTGCGCTGGTTGCGTATATCCTTTTAATAGAAATACAAGTTAACCACCATTACCACATAGAACTTGCTGTGAGAACAAATGGACTGCTGAATGGTGTGATATTCAAATGTCATCATTCTGTCTGTGATGACAATTAAAGACAATAGTTGGGGGCTGATAAGAATGAGATTATAGATCAGAGATTTCCAAACTTTCATCTCGGTGACACTTTTTAGGCAAACATAATTTTGCAACACAGCAATTCGGTCTACTATACACATATGGGTGTACAGTCCCCTCTGATTACAGGACAGTGTTTCAAATACATAGCCATCTCAGATAATGGCAAAGAAAAGGATCTGCATGAGCACTTTATGTTAAAATTCCCTCTGCAGTTAAAAACATAATAGATTAGACTGAACAGATGGCTGAAAAGGCTCAATCAGAAGAAAAAATATTATGTAAGACTATTTACAGCTTGTATAGCACCCATATATGACTATATATCAAACAACAAAAAAAGGCCCATTCCACAGATCCTTTCCTGCCATGACACTGTGAGGCATTCCAGGAGAAAAGAAAATAAGAAGATAGCTCTCACGTGCACACATCTCAATGCTCACCAGTACTATTGAGTTTTGAGTGCTATGTTTAAGATTATCCATGTGTTTTCTGTGGGAGAAAACTAAATACCTATGGGGTTATCTGAGTGTTTATTAAGTGTATAAACCTTCACAAATATACAGGGGAAAAAAGACAGAATAACAAATTCATCAACACTAGTTAAACCTTCAAATACCTGTACTATAGAGTTCAGAAGATCCTGGTACTTATTCTTTCTGCTGACCATTCCTGCCAGTTCCAATGTCTGAAGATTGGCCTTCAATTTCGTCTTCATCGCATCAATGGGCAACCTGTCCACACAGATGAATAATAGTCACTAGTCAAACGGCAGATATAGAGTTAACAAGTATTCTATCCTAATCAGGTGTTTCTCTGTGGTACTAATTGTAACAGAAAAGAAATAATAACACTAAGCTTCTTTTAACATTTACTCTGTGAAGCAGTGGCTGGTGTGTCTGCCTGCCAGGACAGAGGCCTGGATTTGATCTTCAACTAGTTTTTATGCAGACCCAGCCTCATAAACTAGGTTAAATAAAAAGTAAGGTAAATAAAAAGTTGAAGATGCATTGGCATTTACCAACTGGCAAGTTATAGGTGATGTGATCAATATCATGCTGGCCATCCTTACTTCACAGGACATTGCCGGATACTTCCTGTGTGTGTTCTGGGGCCCCACTGCCTCCTTCAGATCTGGAGTACATTTGCCTGAGAGGCGAGGAACCAACAGTCTGCTGCATCCAAATGAGTCAAACCTGTGAAACCAATGTACACTCAGTTTCTGGAGCAGGACTAGAGTCCAGAAGTGGACGAACAACCAAACTTTTCGACAGAGTTTAAAGCCGGTGAACGCGAAGAAGAAGAAGAAGAGGAGGAGGAGGGGGAGAAGACAGCGGCGGCAAAGGAAGAAGAGGAAGAAGAAGAAGAAGAAGAAGACGAAGAAGACGAAGAAGCAGCAGCAGAAGATGAAGAAGAGAAAGGAGGAGAGGGAGAAGGAGAAAGAGAAGAAGAAAGAGAAGAAAAAGAAGAAGAAGAAGAAGAAGAAGAAGAAGAAGAAGAAGAAGAAGAAGAAGAAGAAGAAGAAGAAGACTGTCAAATATGCATTTTAGGTTACATGAAACTGGGACCAAGGTGGATTTTAAAAAGGAAAACAAATCTGGAACTTTAGACTAGCAGACAAGCATCTAGCTGCTGCAACACCACTGCTCCCTGTAAAATAAATGCTAGATAATTTTCAAAATACTTGTGTTTGATTCAAACAAACCTTTACTTTTTAATTCTATTTAGACCTATCCCAAGCTGTAAATATATAGCCTATTCATCATGTATGTGTAAACATGAGCATGAGTGTGCACAAGATTATGCTGAAATTATTTAAACTTCAATGGTTCAATGTTTACTTTCTAACTCGACAACAGATGGAAATTATTGGGGGGGAGGGGATGGGTGAGAGTGTGTGTGCGTGCATGTGTGTGTGTAGGTATCATAAGAATTAGAAATCACCGCCGTAAAGATCCCTTATTACGCCTAAGGCGCATCAGGTATATGGGCAGAGCGTCCCATATTTTTACAGACCAATCGGCACTCGGTGGGTAATGTGGTCAGCATTACGCCGGCCGTCTTTACTTCCCCAGTACAGCCATCCTGGTACCCATTTGAGGCTGGGTCGACCTGCGACGCCCCATACCATGATAAAAATCCACGCAGCCCGCAGTGGGTTTCGATCATGGTAAGTTGGATTACGAGTCGGACTCGCAACACCTTAGCCACGGACGCCGCAATTAGAAATCACAATAAACGGAAACATTACTTATTATTATTACATCACAGGTGACCCTCAACTAATATGTATAGGGCCAAAATCAGAATTGCAACATTATTAGCAACAAACATTTAAAATTAAAATAATCAATTAATAAAATGTGTGTGTGTGTGTGTGTGTGTGTGGGGGGGGGGGGGGGGGGGGCTATACAAAATGCACTTAAAATATTTAGATTAATCTTTATCTTAGGTGGCATCCTGGTTCAATCTTCACTAATGGTTGGATGTTTTTCTGATCAATTCTGGTCTAGGCTCAATTCAGTTTTATGATAAAACATGCATACTGGATCACCATCAAGTACCTTGCTGACTGGTGTGGGTGATCATGCCTCTCCACAATCTGCATTTTCAACTGTGTGTATCAGTTTGTGTGTTGACACCCCTCAATGACAAAAGACTGCCCAGAATCATCTAGTCTTGTTTTCCTCTGTCTCTCTTTTCCAGCCAGTGGTCAAATGTTCCAGTTTGCTTCTTCTCATAGCATTACCCCCCCCCCCCCCCCCCCCCCCCCCCCCCCCCCCCCCCCCCCCCCCCCAAATGACCGTCTTTTCTAATGTTTGTGATAATTGTCTTCAATTCATTACCTCTTTCAAAACATCTGGATTGCTCTTGTTGGCTGTCCAAGGAATACTAAGAATTCTTCTGTAAAATCACAATCTCTGAGACCTAAGGAAACTGCCTTTATTAATTTTCCAGAATTCACAGCAATTTGTTATAACTGGCCCTAAATGGTATGCGTGAATTCTTTTTTTCTAACCTCCAATGACAGATTTAATGCACAAAATGTTATGGTCTCACAAATAGCAGATTGGATACTGTTGATTTTATCTTTGACTGACAGATGGTGAAGAAGGTAACTAGTCCCCAAATACCATATGCTGTGACCTAGTTTATGGAAAGGCAGGTTACACTTATTTGGCAGTGCATGTCATGGCATTATGTGCACCTTCTATACACAAGTTCTGATTTGTGATCATGACTGGGGGGAACTGTATTCACCAACCCGCTTTTCTCCTTGTTTTAATTCATTTTTTTTACATGTTACTGGGCCATAGAATTGTCAATAATGTTTTTTTTTTTTTTTAATAACCAATTATTAACCTCAACAAAAGCAGTAATGCCTTCAAAACTCCCAGGCAAAAAATGTAAATTAAAAAATTGAATAAAAGTTCAGATAAATTAAATACAATGTGTGTGCTTTTATATATAATATATACTCATACATATGAGGAACAGTCAAACAGTAATTTCTGAACTGCATTCAGTAGGTAACAGAATAGATAACATTCACACTGAAACATAACCCTAAGTCTGAACTTCACAAATATATTTCTCAGTGTGGCCTCTATTATTTATTACAGTTTGTGTCTATCTTTTTACAAGAGCATGTATACCTGCATGGTAAAAATGTGTGTCCTTTCTTCCTAAACCACTGGCATGCAGGGTGTTTAAGTGTCTCTGTATTCTAAAAGTGAAGTCTGCAAAGATCTTCTTTCAGTGGACACTGCCTTTACTAATGAACAATATGGAATACAGCTCATCCACTGTTACTCTAAGGTCAGCATGAATGATGTCATCAATGTGATGACGTGTCTGCTGCAGATGGCTGGCCGGCTTTGTGTCAGCCATTGCAGATCAACATACTTCAGCTTCGTCACAACGATGTACCCAGCGCAAACAGTGCTGACATTTGCTCCTGAATCTCCATAAACTTTCTTCAAATGTTCCAGCATGCAAATTGGGGTCTCACCTGTAGCAATGAGGATTTGTATGACACTACGTTGTTTTAAGTGAACGTCTTTGAAAACTATTTTTAAACCGTTACAGTGGTGCCACCTGTTATTGAAACAGGTTGGTAATGCTATACAGTGCAGAAGAGTGTTTGGAGAATTCTGCTAAATTTACAAATTGCACACTGATACAGGATTGACATAGAATTTAAAAATAAATAGGTGGCATTACTTTTTGACTGACCCTCTTACATATGGCCACACACACAAGAATGGTTACCTGACTTTTTTCCTGTGGTGATGTCTGCTAGAAATTAGGTAACACAGTTTACTAATCTTGTAATAGGCACAAATTACTGATTAACACTAATATAAGTTTCAACACACTGCTTCTAAATCTCTCTTGCAAAAGCAATATCTTTTCACATACAACAGCCTGATTTCTAGTGGCGACAATGCCAGTCTTTAAAGTGTCTAGTGGCGACAATGCCAGTCTTTAAAGCAAGGGTTCTAATCCTTCAGACAAAACTTAAAATTCTCTGCCTCTAGACTGCAGCTGATTGAGAACGAAAATTTTCCTAATCATACTCATGTGTATTAACCTAAGTGCATGTTGTCATGGTTTGCCATCTTAAAAATCACCAGTTTTGGTTCTTATCCTAGTTGTGCCCTGCAACCAAGTCATCCAGATTTATCTCTTTTTCTTCTTCTTACTCTCTTTCAATTAAGATTGCCTGTTGCCACTACAGCATGCCTTACCATCCACACTAAACAAATCTTTGTTGTCTATAGCTCATTTCTATAATCAATTCAGTTTTCATCTGTATATTGAAGCAATGCATTATTTATATCTGTCTATGCATAATAATTTTTCCCCTAAAAAATCAAGGCCCTTAGATGATTTTGATATTGGATATGCTTGAAATTGTCTTTGATAGGTGGCAAGGAAGGGAACCAGTCCTCATTAACCAGTCCCCTTAATATCATATGCTGTCACTTAATATATAGGGAGGCTTGAAATGTCATGCTTCTTTGGCATAAGTGTCAAGGCATTACGGGCAACCTTTCATTCAACAAGTTCTAAACAGTAATGGGATGGTTGGGGGAGGGGGTGGAGGGGGGAAAGAGGCATTACCACTATATCTTCCATCTCAGGCACCAGCAACGGTAGAGCAACCTGGCTGAGAAGTTTTGGTGACTACTTTTGGTTCAGATTTTATTTTCTTCGCTCTTAGCCTAAGCTTGCAAAAAAAATTTATTATTATCATTTACACGAGTAACTTGTGTGTAATGACACATGTAATTCTAATCTCTTGGGGTAGTGAGTTTAGATACTTAGCATTGTTGGATAATACAGATTTAAAAAAATCAGGGGATCCAGAGCATAGGGGAAAAAGGAGGATCTAGTGTGAAAGATGTGCAAGGACAGGATTTTTAATTTAAAAAAAAAAGGTCCAGCAAGCGGGTTGTGCAGATTAAAAATCTTACATTATTATTGTGTAGCAGAGCAGGTCCTCTACTGTACATCACCCCCATCAATTTCTAATGCTGACAACAGCTGAAGCTTTACTGCAGTCTACAGGACAAGTATGTCAATTTATATTGTACTTTCTGCATTTTTTGACAGAGGGTTCTAACATTATGGTTTCTGGATTTTCTGCCTTGTCAAAAGCCTCCTGTACTTTTTGTCTTTTTTATGACAGCTTTTTAATCCTCTCCATGGTGACCTTCAAGAGAATTCAGCTGGCATTGCTTAGTACGATAGAAACTCAATCTTTTGCCAGCTCTTGTGCACTTTTATACCCGACCGACTTTTATCCTATGTCCACCATTGTGCCGGTCGGCCCCTGCCCCCTCCTTACTGGCATTTTGCTTTCCGCTTTTATTCTTTTCCCAATCCACCATGGCCCTCGATATGGCAAAAATATTTCAGCTTCTGAGATAAGATGCAGTTTATTAGCCAATCTTCCTTAATGTTTAGATTTTTTAGAGTGTCAGTATCTCTCCTCTCTCTCTGCATGCGTGTGTGTGTGTGTGTGTGTGTGTGTGTGTGTGTGTGTGTGTGTGTGTGTGTGTGTGTGTATATATTTTTTTGTCAATAGTATTCTGAGAATCTTTCTAAAGCATTTCCTCTCAAAATCTCAAAAGCCCCTTTTAACCTTACGGACTGTGAGATAGTGATAGTACATTTAGTTAGTGTATAATTTTGAATTCTCTGTCTCTGAAAGAGGTCCATACTTTTTTTTCCTCCCAAAACCCACATGAGAAATGCAGTGAATAAGTATAAAGAAGTTCATAAACCCATCTAAACCATAAAATCATACATCGAAATCCAGTAAGTCAAAAGTGAACTGAAAGAATAGGTGTGCACAATAACCTGGTGTCCCCAAGAATAGATGCATGCCGCACCAACTTTTTGCCTTCTTTCTGCGACTGGGCAAGTTTCCGATCAATGAGGTCTCTCTTCTTCACCATGGCTTGATGAACTTCCTCTTGTTGCTGGCTGCATGGAGTGTCCAGGACCACAACTAGATTCTCTCCGGGCTGGCAGGCAATCACGTCCACAATCATCCGTTTCGTCCTAGAATATAAAATCACATTTTAAAAAACAAATGTGAAATACCTAAAATATATAATTACATCTAAAATCATGGTCGTAGTGATGTTGTTGTTTGCACCAACTCTTTCAATTTCGACATCTTCTGCACTGTTCTTAAAAGAATAATTGGCATGTTGTGTTATGGCTTACAGCTAGGCTGTGATATCTTGGTCCCATTAGTCCATCACATTCAATTTCAGCAACCCTTTAATTAGTCAGTTTTAAAAAAATGGACCCGCACTCACAAAGAGCCATAGAACCCAAAGAGGGATATTAAATCTTTTAGTACCAGAAGATTCCACAGCAGACCCTACAGCTGGGGCAACACAATCACAGTTGCCTTGTATTATAAAAGGATGCCATACATCAACAATATGAACGGCAAAGGTGCAGATTTTCTTTGAACACTGCAGGCAATGTTATAACCAATCCTAGATTTAGCAAGAAGAGACAGGATCAGAAATGAAGATATCAAGGAACAGGCTGGGATAGAACCAGTGCCAAACTACATCAAAAGGTTCAGACTACCATAAGACAGTGGCACCAGACTGCCCTGTAACTAAGATAAAATGGAGGCAGAACAGAGGTCACCAATGTAAGCAACGCTAGAGGGATAGAGGAAATATTTGAGGCTGTGAATACCAGTGTCTATGTAGCACACATCGAAGCTTGCTTAAGATGCCTCTTCTAAACCTGACACTAAAATGCAAAAGAGGGTCTAGAGAAAAGAAGAAGATTAGAGGATCTAGAGAAAAGAAAAAGACTATGGGCAATCTTCACATAATGGCTTTTTTTCTCAGCACTGAGTTGGAGTCTGCTGAAATGAAACATTCAAGTCCAAGGAGGAAATAAAGCTAGGAATAACCTGTCTGTGCTAAGCAGAAATGTGATCTAGTTACATTATTAATACCTCTTTAGATATGAAATTCAAATACAAGTCATGCTCACTCCATTCAATTGTGAGCTTTAAAAGGGTTTTAAAAAAAAAAGCTCTGCCACGATTTCTGTGCAAAATCATACTTAGGTACCAGTTCAAGAGGTAAATCATACTTAGGTACCAGTTCAAGAGGAAAATCTTTCTCATATGACTAATTAAAGTTTTTTTTTTTTTTTTTTTTTTCAAGGCTTACCCAAAGTGGGGTGGGGGTAGGTAATGAAGAAATCAAAGTGCCTGCACATGGAACAAGCCCCAAGTACTCAGTCTCCCCACAGAAGAAGTTCAAGGTGTAGATGATGCTGGTCACAACAAAAAGGTTTTCAGATATGATATGACTTCACATTTTAAAACTATCAATGTAAGTAAATACCTGATGAGTAAAGACTTCAAGTCTGCCTTTTCGTCTGTCTGCACCTCAAATTTACTAGATAATGTGAGGGAAATTTCAGTCTTAGCCATTTCCTGTCTAAGTGCTTCATTGGCAGCTTCATCTCCAGTCAGTTCTGTGCCCAGTAACTCGTCAATGGTAGGAGCATCTCCAAGATCTTCCAACAGTTCATGCAATGGATCTGAGTGTTCTGGGGCAATTATGTCTTGATGCTGAAGCAACAGCTACAAGGAAACAAGGGAAAATATCAGCAAACAATAAGTGAGTGGAGACTAAGAAAAAACATAAATCAACATTAGGTGACTTGCCAAGTGGTTTCGGTAATCCTGCTTCTCCACATTTTGTTATCTTGTGGGGAAAACAAGAATAGACCCACTGCCTCCCCAAAAGCATGTCGTAAGAGTCGACTAACTGGGGAGCTTCCCTTGAAGTCGAAGTGCATCTGCCTGAGAGGCAAGGAACCAGCAGTCTACATTCAATTGAATCAGATCTGTAAAACTGATGCACACGCAACACTCAGGTTCTGGAGCAGGGCTGCAGTCCAGAAGTGGACGAACAACCAGAACTTTACGCCAGAGTGTACAGCTGGTGAACGCGAAGAAGATGAAGAAGAAGAAGAAGTTATCTTCAACAGTGTGTATCAATTTTTGTGTGCTGATATATTTCATCATCATTACCAATCACCAGGTCCTTTACAAAATGTCAATTTTGTCACTTCATGCCTGAAAGTCTCTCTCTGTTTCTCTAGTCAATTTTCCAGCCCTATGTGCTTTCACAGCCAATGCATCTTTGATGTCTTGTATCCACTGTCATAGAGGTCTACACCCTGTCTTGCTGTTTCCTCTAGGCCACCATGGCGTTTAACATGGCCAGAACAGCCTAGTTTTTGGGACAGGATGCTGTTTATGAGCCAATTCTCCTTGATACTCAAATCATGTAGGAAGTTGATGTTTTGATATTTCATACCATGTCAAAAGGCTGTCAAGAATATTTTTTCATATTTTTTCCGAAATCTTTCTAGCTGTCTGTTGTTCACCTTTTCATGTGGGTCCAAAACAAAAAGACCTCTTTCTGATACAAGTAGAAAGCTGTCTTCATGTAGCAGTCTCTTGGATTACTGAACTTAGATGTTTTAAATACCTAATCTAAAATAAAGGAAACTAGATTATTATTGCCTGGATAGAATGAGGCACCTGGGTGTAAACATAGGGTCTGGCCAGCTCACTACACTCAGATGAAAGGCAAGATGGACATATAACCAGATTGTGACTGGTACCATCAGTATTGGTGGAACTCTGTGCTAACTGCTGAAGATGAGGACAGAGCACACATGGGAATGCTCCGAGTGCTGTGATGTCAATTCTTGACTCAACTCAACTCAAAAAAGGAAACTGAACAGGTTTCATACATAAAATATATAACAGGGTTGATTAAACACTGTCGTGTGTGGCTAGACACATGACTTGTTAAAAGAGTTTTGGTCTTCCGAGGAGTTGTTGAAAAGTCGTCGACACGAGCCTCTTATCACATTTCAGATGGCCGGCCGGCTTCGATTGGCCACAAGAATATAGAATAACTCACAAAAGCTGTGGGTTTCAGAAGTGCAATATCAGTACAACAAAACAGACAGCAGACAGATGATTACCTGATGGGTATCCACAATTTCCCCCACAGAAATATAAACAACAGGTTTTGCAATCATGGTTACATCGCTGTACTGGTCAATGTTGAACCTAACTTCTGGGTCTTCCACATCACATGCTGCCAGGCAGTATTTTCTGCATGATACAAGGGTATAGATAAGGTTTTTTTTTTTTCTCCTAAACTCTCTCTCTCTCTCTCTCTCTCTCTGTAGTTGTGTGTGTGTGTGTGGGGGATCTGTGTGTGCCTATGTATGTATGTATGCATGCATGCATGTGTGTGGCATGTGTGCATGTTATGTGTATATGTGTGCATGTGTGAATGTGGGTGTGTATGCATGCGTTTTTGAGTGAGTGGGCATGTGCATGTAAGTTTGTGCGATTGTGTGCATGCATTTTACCACTAATGCTTTTTTTTTTGTGTCTTAATATTCATAATATGCATATTATTACACGAACACATGTTTTATTGATAAAATACAACTGCTGTGTGAAAGATGGTATTTGGAAGAGCCGAATGTAAAAGGGGCCTGCGTGCCTATTTTGTGACCCTTTGAAAAAAAAAGTTCAATCCTTTTTTCTTTCGCTCCAAATGCCCTCAGGCCCCCCCCCCCCCCCCCCTACCCTCATAAACGTCTTCTCTTCTTCCTCTACCTTCTATCGCCCAATTTGTCATAGACTATTAATTACTCTCTAGCTCCCTTCTTTGCAAGTCTCCCTTCTCCATGTTTTTTTTTTTTATAGTCTTTCTTTTTTTTTTCCTTCTACTCCTCTGTGCAAAGATATCTGAATATTAGTGTTCTCGGGTTTTCTCAATGTGTCCTATCCAAAGCCATCGTCTTTGCTTCATCTCTTGGTCCAGTGGAACTTTTTTAGTTCTCTCCCAAAACTCAACAATAGCAATTCTATCATACCATTTAATTCCTTCTATTCTGCGCAGGCACCAGTTAATGAATTTTTGTAGTTTATTAGTAGCTGCCTTAGTTCTTCTCCACGATTCCGTTCTATACAACATTAGAATTAAAAACTTACTATACCAGGCAAGGCTGTCAACTGATAGGTATTTATTTATATATAATTCATCAGCTTTAAAAATTAACAACAATTCAGGAACATTTCAGAGCATAAAGACAGGTGTGCAGCAAAGATGTGTACTATCACCTGTTTTATTTATATTACACAGTGAATATATAATGAGAATTATAACAGAATTTGGTTGGTGGTCACAATACAAACAACCTACATTACTCTGATTAAACCATCTTGATAGCAACAAGACACAAAGAACTACAGGAGTTGACAAATACGGATGTAGTAAAAAGTACAAGAATGGACCTCAGTTTGAATAATGGGAAGACAGAAAAAATAATTGTGCCTAGATGTATAATAGAAGCCAATGGTGTTATTTAAGGACAGCACAGAAATTATTTAAGTATCTAAGCAAACGAATAACATCACATGGAATACAAATCACACTAAAGATAAAGAACAGACTGGGACAAACAAAAATTTCATTTTATAAATAATAAAGAACATGAAATAAATATATGTCATTGGAGGCTAGAAAAGAATTCTCGCATAACTAGTCAGTTTTAACATATGGCTGTGAATCCTGGACAACTACTAAAGAAGTCAAACAATATCTGAAGGCCTTAGAGATATGGTTTTACAGAAGAATAACTAAAATTCTTGGACAGCCCCCCCCCCCCCCCCCCCCCCCTCCCAAAGTTTAGGTTGATATGGGAAATACTTGACAGTTAAAAATGAATATCTGAGAAATGTGCCACTTTTATAAATGATACTCACTTGAACTTTTCATGAGCATTCCTAATATAATCATTCATGCTTGCCAGGTAAGAGCTCTCCCCACCAAACTGAAAAAAAGACGGACAGTAATTAGTCACTTTACAATTATCAGTCAGTAATCTTTCATCATTTTCTAAAATATAGCAAAAGCATTATTATTCTTGAATAAATGTTATTTGTTCATTGCTTTTCCTGTTGTACCATCATATGAGATTCTTGTCACTACATGCCTGAAAGCCTCCCTCTCTTTCTCTAGTCAATTTTCCAGCCCTGTCTGCTTTCATAGCCAATGCATCTTCTGTCTTGTATCCATATCGGACTCGCAGACTATTTCTCAGTTCTGTCCCATCCTGTGCAAACCTCAATATCATGGATGGAATCTAGTCCAGCATCTTTGGCTTCTCTCGATGACATCTGCCTTAGCGTTTCTCTTTAACATCCTTACTTCCTCAATCCATTTATTTCACATTTCAGCACCTGTTTGGTGATTCTATGTAATCTCTTCTCAGAATGGGTTCAATCTAGCATATAAATATAAACTAAATTACAATTCTAGAATTATGACAATATCCTATAATATCAAAGATATCAGTCAACATACCAGAATCCTGGCATGAAGAAGTCAATAAACTATTATCCTAGAAGAAACAAATGAACAGACTTAAATCTTAGAGTAGCATCCCTTATTTTTCTTCTCTTGTAAGTTTCAGCACCAAAAGAAGATGAGCATCCTTGAAGAGGATTATTTTAAAACTGTTATTCCACAAATCCAATACTTCTCAACTCTCTGTCTCAATCTCTGTTTCTGCTCTATGTGAATTAAATGTCACTGCTTCTTGTTACATGACCAAGCTGACTCTTAATTAAATAAACTGCTGACACTGTATCTAGGGTTTCTGTTGTCGTTGCTGCTGTTGTTCTTGTTAAATAGCATCTGATTATATTCTTCCAGACGCTGGAACTGACTTGACAGAACAGGTTGCCAGTGGATTATAGAATTACCACTACTAGTGTTGTCATCGCCAATATTATCATTATGAAAAAAATTCCCTCAATTTCTTCTCTGCCTTATGCATTTTCAAATCCTGGGTGTTTTAACTCCGCAAAAAAAAAAAAAAAAAAAAAAAAACTTCAGGAAATATAAAAGGAATTTAGATGTATTTGTGACACACAAACAAACAAAAACCACAACATTATACAAGTCAAAACATGGCATATCTTGCACACAACTTACACCCTTATTGGAGGCAGCAAACTGGAGAATTTTGGCTATGGAACCAAGGTTTCTTCTCTGATCACTGGTGAATGCATGCTCCGCCCCTACGTTGATAATGTCAAAGGCATCTGGGGCAACTATGGCCGAGTTGATATATCTGTAGTACAGCAAGTTGCCTACAATCTGCAAGTGTACATAGGACATAATATTGTGATCAGTCCTCAATACAACACAATTCACCCACAATGGACTGACTACAGGTTACTTCCTATCCATTCTGTGGTGCCCCACTATAACTGCTAAATGGCTATACAGTTGAACAGGCTTTCCTGAATTCATAGCTGTTTCATTCTCATCCCCGAGATGTTAATCCTACATCCTATTAAGTGGTGAACAGAACCAACGATCTTCACATCTAGAGGCAAACAGCTTGATTACTTCACCACATATTTTTTTTCTTGGAAAAAAGAATGAGGACTGACCACCCCTCTCATTATATCTTAATACTTCTTTAGTCGCTTGTTTTCTACCTTGGGGTCTAGAGGTTTGCCAGACTTCTCTATCAGCGTTCTTTCTTTTTTGGCTTTGTTCCATGGTTAATTTTATGTTTTCCAGGGCAGAAAGAGAGTAACTTCCCTTGCCATTCATGCCTCGTCGGGTTGCAGGGCCTCAGCTAAGTTTCTTGGCGTATATAATGTTTGTGAGAGGTAGTGCTGTTGTGAGTCTATTTCAGGCCTTGCATGTGCCTCTGTTCAAGTAAGAAGTACTGCAGGGGGAAGCGTTGCAGGCATGATTCTTGAGTAACTTGGATGTTTTTGTATTTCTATGTTAGTCTCTTCTCAAGCTCTTCCTTCCGTATATGTAAGTTGGACTGAAGATTGCCTCTGATTTAGCTATCAGGGCCACATCATCTGCAAGTGCCAGCTCTGATATGCAGGTTGGTCTCATATTCCACTACTCTACTGAGTATTTCTTTGCCTTCTCTTTACGGGTCTTGATGACATCATCCATTAGAAGTATGAAGTGGTGAGGTGAGAGGATATCTCCCTAATACTACCAGTAGTCTTAAATTCATCTGACTTTTGGTTTCCATTCTTACACATTTTTGTAGTTTTTGTAGAAACTCAGTACTGCACTAATCAGGGGTGCTGAAAGGTTCCCTGCCAAGCAGTCTCAAAGTTTGCTCTAGTGAACTTTATCAAATGCCTTTTCTAGATCCAGGAAACATAAGTCTCTTTTTGAGAATTCTATAGTAGCTCTTTCCAGGAACGCTGAGGAGGGAAATATGCCTCTGTTGTGTTTCACACTGTTTGTTACCACTCTTTTTAAATACAGGTATAATGATGACAATCTCCCAATATTTTGGTATAGTCTTACTACACTAGGCTGCTTGGAAAACCTTCTGGAGAAGTTGCTTCCTTGTGACCATATATTTAACATCTCTGGTGTTTCTCAATAGCCGCCTTCAATACTTCCATCCTTACCGTCTCATCCTCGTCACTGGTTTACCTCTCTGTCAAGAGATTCATTATCTCTGGTATATGATGTTCCTCACCCCTGAGGAGCTCTGAGAAGTATTCTTTCCATCTGCTCAGATATCATTTGTAAGCAGAGCCCCTTTCTTGTTTTTTACAAACTTCAGCGGACACTTTTTCTTTCCGCATGTTCTTAAGGGTCTTCTAGGACAGTTTTTGATTTTCTCTTTCATTCTTTTTCCAACTTTTCTCCGAATTCTTCCCAAGATTTCTGTTTTACATCAAGCACTGGATTTTTTGGCATCCAATCTGAGGCATTTTGTTTACATTTCTCAGCTTATTCAGCTGTTCCTGTCTGCTAGGTATTGCTTCCATCCCTTTCTCTTGTCTCCTATTTTCAGTTTAACTTTTTCCATCCAACTCTTAAATTAAAATAAAATTAAATTCCTCATTAAATCAAGGCCCAGAATATGTGAAGGTTAACAAAAGCAATATCTTTGATGGAATTACAGTAACCTGCTAACATGAAGGTTGTTCTATGACAGCACAAAGAGTACATATACTGCCTTAAAAGCATGTCCTAGGTTTCATCTTCAGGTGAAATTCGCTGTCCTTTTAACCCAGGCTCAACTGTACGATGTGTCTCATTTTATTTTTCCTTGACAAGCTCAGCACGGAAGAACTGCCAGTTTCTGCACCACTTGTGACATTATGAGATACTGGTTGCATGGTGGAGTTGAAAACCACACTCGCCTGTCACAGAGTTAAATCCACTGTGACGCTGCATGCAGAGATCTATAAAAGAAGGGGATTCCAGCACCTATGGTTTTAAAACCGTGTTAATTCCGCCCCAATATGGGACGCATTTTTTTTAGTCTCCTGGCTGTAGTTGGGGGGCCCTAATATAACCTTATGGCTGAACTGGGTTTTTTGGACGCGCCCAGGTGATTTTCATCCGTGTGGTGGCACTTTGGGTCACCAGATGTCAGTAACTCATTGTGCAGTCCTGGTGGGGTTAAACGTCTGTGAGTCAGTCACTTACGGTGTGGTGTGAAGTGATGATCTGTCAACTACCTGATCCCTTTTGAGGCAGGCATTTTTGTACACACCAAACTCTAGGCTTGATCCAGTCTAATAAAATTAGAATCAGAAAATTGTATGGGACGATAAAGGGAGACAGTATGATAACGACATTTCACCCATCATGTGCTAAACTGTTAATGGCATCCGTCAGTCCCGGGGGGCTATGGAGAGAAACTGTTAAGCATCGCTGGAGTGACTTCTCCAGGGCACAGGCCAGGGCGTTTTGATTTGGAGTACAGACTGTTGCCCAGGCAGCAAGTACCCCCTCTCTACGTCGCCGGTGATACCAAGGGAAAGGCAAAAACCAGTACGACTTGGCACCGAGGACGTTGCAAGAATTGCCGGAATAGCACTGTATACAATGCTAAACCGCCTTAGGGATTCCAGCTCAGGATTTTTCCTCAGGGTTTACTCCCGAAGCACTTTCCCAAACATGGGTATGGCCACAAGGCAGTGGAGGTGTGTAGTCAGAGTTTACCTTCTCCTAGATGAGCTGCACTCCCGTGCTGGCGAGCCTCATCTGCCCAAGGTTTGAAATCAGTTTTCCTTCTCCTAGATGAGCTGCACTCCCGTACTGACGAGCCTCATCTACCCGAAGCGTCTGGTTAAAGCGCCAGAGACCCGCCTTCGCCCCTTCTCCTGTTAGTTTAAACATCTCCGCCACGAGAAGGCCAGGAGTTGGACTGTTGCTGTCAGAGGCTTTGAGAGACGCATGCCTTGAGGGTATTTCTTGGAGACTGAGAGCTTATCCTCAGCCCCGCCCTCGGCGTAACAGCATCATGTGCTAATTAATCTAAAATAAGGATCATGTTATATTTCTAACTTGCCACATAGTATCTGTGGCTTAGGCGTTGCGAGCGCGCTTCATAATGCCAGGGTGCCGGGTTCAATCCCAGCTGTGGGCATTGTGTTAGTGTAAACATTGGTATCAAGAAGTCAGCCATCCAGAATGCAATGGCAAAACTACTAGACGTAAATTTGCCTAGAAAAGCCACAAAAGTCAAAAATGCTGGAGTTGGTTCTGCAATGTCCTGTGAAGAATACGCCAACTAACTGGGTTTTTTTTAATACATGGTATACAAACCAGGTCTTTAATATAATTAAACCATTTCCTCTGACTACAAGACAAAGGCATAACTTTTATAAGATAAAAGCAATTTACTCCTACCTTCAAAATCTCTTTCTCCTCAGCATCTGGAAATTTCTTGATCAGGCACTGCCGCATAACTTTAGCCATGTACCTCATGCCATAGCTGTAACATGAGAATCTGAGATGTAGCTACTAAAACATATAAATTTATACTCAGAAGGTAAAAATATATTATATTTTTATTGTATGAAATTTCAAGCTATAAAACTACCAAACTCCTCCATTATAAATTCATAACAGTACAACTATTAGTGGAAGTCGCCCTGGCGGAGTGGCTAGACCTTTGCCTGCAGATTTTTAAAAAGTCGTGGGTTTACTTTCTGGTAAAGCCAGACGTTTTTCAAAAATGATCTTGGCTCCCAGGTTGAACCAACCTTGAGTGAGTACCAGGTACAGTCCTGGAAAGTAGAGATGGCCGGCGTGATGTTGACCACATCACCCATCTTGTGCTATTGGTCTATAAAATATAGGTCTAGCCCTATATACCCAATACGCGTGAAAGGCGTGGAAAAGGGTACAATATTTTACTTTTACAATCACTAGTGTCTGCTGGGGTACTCCTTGCCCATGTGGTATGCTGCTATTTTCAGTCCAAACTTTTGCATTTTGATTTAATCTTTATTCCATAGTTTGGCCATTAGATACCTCTAATATAATGTCCCACCCAGATAGCCCATAAACTCTTTCATTGCCCACTGCATCTCAATATATGTGTTAATGTAAAGATTAATGATCACTTGCACTTACGGAATGCTGTCTAGAGATGTGAGGATCTTGTTCAGGAAGAGATCTGTGACACCTTGCAAACGTTTAATGGTTTCCTCAATCTGTATTCTCACCTCTTCATGCTGCAAGGCTTGTTCAGTCGAGACATCATAAGGCAGAGAACTGAAAGCAGATACACATTACTCATTTTATTTCTGTTCTACAGAGTCGGCCAGAAGTTTTTAGATTTGAATCGGAAAGAAGATGTAATTTTTATAAAAGACCAAGGGTTCACAGACCGAACAGCTTAAAATTCATCAGCATCATCATTATATAAGAAAGAGACAAACATAATGACCACCTAATGAGAAGAGAGACATTGGAGAACATTGTGACAACTGGAAAGATCAGTGGAAAACGGGGTACAGGCAGACCAAGAGAGATGCTGGATGGGCTGAAACAATGGCATGGAGGGATATCGTCATCATTTTCATCATCAATCCAAATTCTGACATTTATCAATTTCCAATTTTTATATTAAGCGTCATGGGGAGGAACAGTTTGTGATTTGCTGCTTGATGGACTGCAATAGCTACTGTCATTCTGTGTCAATTAAGATTCTTCATGAGAATGATGTTATTGAGAAATAACCAACTTATACAATCTGTATAACAACTGAAAAAAAAAAAAGATGCAAAGGTAGGCTGGAGTGTTTTTGTCTTTGTTATACACTCATGTGCATACGTATATACACAAAAATCATCATTATTAGCGCATAATTTTTCTTAGTCAAAATCACTGTTTTGTAAGAGAAAAATACAAATGTCAATGTAACATGATGATAACGTCATGAAGAAAGAAATAGCAGCTACCTGCTCAAAGAGTTGCCTCAAAAAGCACATTCTAGAATGTTTGTTTGACCTGCAAGTGACACAAATTCCATGCCATATTGGTATATTTATTGGTGACTGTATACACTGTAATTTTCTTATTGTTTTCTGTCAGATTGACCTGTTAACATTTAAATAAAATGTTACTTTAACCCTCCTATTCCCTGCTTGCAGCGCCCAGAAACAACCTGGAGACGAACAATGGAAAGTGAAGAATGCTGCATCTAACATGGAAAACCGCACAGGACAGGAAAGCAAGGAAAGTCTTCTTTGAGGCCTCATGTGCCCCTAGGCATAAAGAGAAATGATGATTGATGTTTCTCTGCTTGCAATATTTTAACTTCTTAAGAGATGCTGAGTTGGTCTGAGTTAAAAAACAGAACAAAAAACATCAAAGCACCTGAAACTTACCAACAAGTGCTCCATTCCCATCTTCAGCAGCCTGTTCACCATTCTAATTTTGATGGTACCAGTAACTGTCTGACTGTATACCCATCTCACATTTTCTCGGAGTGCTGAATGTCTGCCAGATCCCTGGCCACTTGCGGCTGCACTATTCTCTCCTGGCTGTGATGTTCTACTTGTGCTTCCACACTCTTCCCTCATTCCTCATTAGACATGACTAGCTTGTCACACATCAGTTTATCACCAACTGATGCAGAACCAACTAATTTGTCTGCCTCTTTGTGCCCCAACACCAAGACCTAGAGACTGATACTCTAAAGTACATAGATTTTGTAATATCACATGCTATCCGCTATCACTACCGATGGTCAACCTATGGATCATGCTGATATTTATAATGTGTCTGAAAAATGGGAAGGGTTAAGGACTTTGGAGGCAGTAAATCCACATCACTCACCAGAATGATAGACTAGAGAGTTAATATCACACAGCACAAAATAAGATGCAAACCAGGCACATCAGAGGACTTGTTAATTCGGCCACTGGTGTTCATAACGAGGGGAGGATCTGGGCACCTACGGATATGTCCAGAGAGCAATTATGATAACTCAACTAACAAACTAACTAAATAAAGACCTAGAGACTGACCCTCTGAAGTACGCAGATTTTTGTGTTATAACTTGCTAAAGGAATAACTGCCTGAGAATACAAGAGAACACATGCATACCTACCTAGTTTTCCCTGTGCTGGATTCTGTCTGATTCACCCAGGCTTTGTAAACCTCCACTGGGTTTGTGTTAATTCGAAGGTTTTTATCTTCAATGATTTTAGTGATAAGTGGGTTCAGCAATTCCTTGAGGGCATTCTGACCACGCTGGTTTCTGTGAAAGAAATATAACATATAGATAATTATCTTGTCATGCCAAGTCATACCTGATATTTACCGTCTTCTTCTTCTTCACTTTCACCGGCTGTAAACTCCTGCGTAATGTTCTGGTTGTTCGTCCGCTTCTGAACTCTAGTCCTGTTCTAGAAACTGAGTTTTGCGTGCATATTTGTTTTACAGATCTGGTTCATGTACATTCGACTTTTATAACATGCTTTTAGGCAGGCAGTGGGTCTATTTTTGTTTTCCCCACGATAGGCCCCAGAACCCACTCGGGGAGATATTCACTGTAAAGACTGAAATGAAGCTTTTTGAATATGATGTCCCACTACAAATGTAGCTGTGTGCTGTCAATCAAATTACAGGTATAAATGTGTTGCTTTCTCCTTGGATCTTGCAATAACACTAGAGGTTTATATGCTTTGAATATTTCCCTATCTGAACCTTTGCTAATTTTATAATTTTGTCAGAACAGATGCAAAATACACACTTCATTTAGTTGTTGCAAACTGCCAATGGTTTTTAATATGCTCAACTTGAATTCAATTCTCCAATTATTTAATCTTAATGTGAATACTTTTTGTTAACACCTTTCTGTCTTTCCAGACAATAGTGTTATGCTATAGGGAGGCATTTCCCTTTATTCCTATTCTTTTTCTGATTTTTACCTTCTATTTAATATAGTCCTTGTCATTTTGTTCCCATGAATCCACTTTAATATCTGTATCATCATATCCCACTTGCACACATCTTTATATCATAGTAGAGGCTGGCCTTGACATCTACCCATATGTAATTTACCGTAGAGGATGTCTTTAGAAACGCTAGCATCCTCCATTATCCAAATGTGATCCGGCCACGTCAACCTTCAGAACCTGAGCATTAAGAAAACTGTTATCTGAGTATGCACTAAGATATTTTATATTTATGGCACCAAAATGGCAAGTGTGAGCATGTATGACTTCTTTGGATTACTTTATTTAGTTCCAGAGGAATCTGGTAGTCGGGTAATCTTAGTTTCAGCTTCATAGCAAATGGATAACCAAATAGTTGTTCCACTTGTGTGCAAAAGAACACACAGAATGTGTCATTTATGGATAAATTGAAACACGCATTAAAAGCATAAGGCAACCATCAGAAGTGCTGACACAAATAGCCCTTCATTTGATCGACGGAAGCAGCAGTTACCAGATCAGCAATTCCAGTATAAGAAAATACCTGGTGAATCTTAAAATGATCATGACTGCACTAAATACCCGTTGAAATCTGCAACCATCTTGACAGCATAAACTACTAACCATTGATTCCCACAAGTACTGTGACAACAGAAGTTACAAACCTATTTATCTCACTTGTGTTGACAACAAAAGATAATACCCTGCTGGATTCGTATAATTACTGTGACAATAGAAGATATGCACCCATCTATTCTACATTTATTTTGATAACATAAGATACTAACCTGCTGAACCCTTGTCCAATTTTGCTAACAGAAGATACTAACCTGCTGTATCCTTGACTAACCTTGCTAACAGAAGATACTAACCTGCTGTATCCTTGACTAACCTTGCTAACAGAAGATACTAACCTGCTGTATCCTTGACTAACCTTGCTAACAGAAGATACTAACCTGCTGTATCCTCGACTAACCTTGCTAACAGAAGATACTAACCTGATGTATCCTCGACCAAATTTGCTAACAAAAGATACTAACCTGCTGTATCCTTCGTTAATCTTGCTAACAGAAGATACTAACCTGCTGTATCCTTGCATGATTTTGCTAACAGAAGATACTAAACTGCTGTATCCTTGACTTACCTTGCTAACAGAAGATACTAAACTGCTGTATCCTTGACTAATTTTTCTAACAGAAGATATTAACTTGCTGTATCCTTGGCTAACCTTGCTAACAGAAGATGCTAACTTGATGTATCCTTGGCTAATCTTGCTAACAGAAGATATAAACTTGCTGTATCCTTGGCTAATCTTGCTAACAGAAGATATTAACTTGATGTATCCTTGGCTAACCTTGCTAACAGAAGATATTAACTTGATGTATCCTTGGCTAACCTTGCTAACAAAAGATATTAACTTGATGTATCCTTGGCTAATCTTGCTAACAGAAGATATTAACTTGATGTATCCTTGGCTAATCTTGCTAACAGAAGATATTAAATTGATGTATCCTTGGCTAATCTTGCTAACAGAACATATTAACTTGATGTATCCTTGGCTAATCTTGCTAACAGAAGATATTAACTTGATGTATCAATGTCTAATCTTGCTAACAGAAGATACTAAACTGCTGTATCCCTGACTAATCTTGCTAACAGAAGATATAAACTTGCTGTATCCTTGGCTAATCTTGCTAACAGAAGATACTAACTTGATGTATCCTTGGCTAACCTTGCTAACAGAAGATATTAACTTGCTGTATCCTTGACAAATCTCGCTAACAGAAGATACTAACCAGATGTATCCTTGACTAACCTTGCTAACAGAAGATATTAACCTGAAGTATCCTTGACTTACCTTGCTAACAGAAGATACTAACCATGTGTATCCTTGACTAACCTTGCTAACAGAAGATACTAACCTGCTATATCCTAAACTCATTTTGACAGCCAAGATATACTAACCAAAAGAATCTTACAATAATCTTTACAACTAAAAATACTATCCACTGAATTCTACAATCATCTTACTAACAGAAGATACTCATTTGTTTATCCTATATTCATCCTGACAACAGAAAATACTAACCTGTTGAATCCTACAATCATTTTGACAACCAGTGGGTTTCCTGTCACAATGTCAGTCATCTTGTCAACCTTGGAACTATTGGCAAAAAAAACAAAAACAATGAGAGGTACTTTACTTCTTTAAAGAGGTGATGTATAAAAAAAAACAGTACATGTGGAAAGACAGTTAGAAAACATGCAGACAATGAATATATTACAATTTATTCAACTCTAAGAAGTACAAATCATGACATACAATTATAAAATCACAGGCTGGTTTATTATCAATCTGTATGTCAGTATGAAGAATGCCTTAAAAAAAATTATCAGTAAATATTTCAACAAAAGCCCCATGGTTTATAGATTTCTCACAGTTCAGCTTTTTGTTTCCATCTTTTCTAGTTCAGTACAGACTACATGCTTTCTCTCCCCTTTCCTCTATGAAATAAAACACCTTTGATTGTATGGTCTTATTGCACTTATTTTAACAAATAATAACTTTTGATTAGTCCCACTGTAATGGTTCTTGAATCTCACAAATGTTTATAATGTATATATTATTGTTAGATTTAAGATTAAGGGCATGCAAATCTTTTGAAAACTAAGTTGTATGCTATTTAATTTCTACGTTCTGATATGGTATGGTATCAGAAACAGATTGGAAAAACAACACTGGTTATGACTACAGAAAAGATTTTCTGAGGCACTTGAACAGAACAGACCAAGTCACAGTTTTTCGCTCACGCACTGGACACTGCAGACTCAATTAACACTCATATAAATTAGGTATGAGCCAAACAGCTCTCTGCCAGTGTCTTCGTGCTGAACAGACTCCAAAACATGTCCTGCAAGACTGTCCTATCCTAGCGGAGCTGCGGAGCGACATATGGCAACACCCAGTAGAACTGACAACTAAGCTTTGGGGAAACCTAAGAGACCTTGAAAAGACATCCCAGTTTATGACCCACAGTGGATTATGCGCATGACCAGAGATCGCTGAAGAAGAAGATATGGTATAGGGTTTTATATTGAAGATCTGAGATTGATAAAAAAAACTGTCAAACTGACTGGGCACTCAATGGTTGCTATGGAAACCAAGAACATACTAAAAGATATATGAATGAAAGCATGTATGAGAGAGAAGTAAGAAGGGCAGAATCTTGGACAGATCTGCAAGTCTAACTGCCCCACCACCCAACTTTTTAAATTTAAACCCACTCCTTAAAACAAACATTTTTTAAATAACTGTATGGAGGCAAGACTAAAAAAAAGGGGGGTAAAAAGACTAAGATTTCATAATGGTATATGACTATGCCTTACTGCACTGGGGTGATTTGGATGGATGTGGGTGATGGGTGTTAGCCTAAATATTTTCACTTCAAAAATGTTTCATTTATTCTACCATCTGCAGTTAATGTGTTTTTTTTCCCTCTTATGAATGACAAAGAAAAAGAAACAAGCTAATTTAACTGAATTAATACTGTACTTTACTTACCCAACATGTGCACATTAACACCTAACTTCAATCAACACACACTAACAACTTACCCCAATTACCACACGTTAATACACATTAATACCTCGTCTCAATTAAAATATACTATAAACTCCAGTGGAAAGACCTGGTTGTTCATCCATTTCTGGACTTTGGCTTTGTTCCAGGACCTGAGTTTTGTGTGTGCATCTGTTTTACAGATCTGTCTGTATGCAGATTGCTGGTTCCTTGCCTCTCAGGCAGATGCACTCCAACTTCAAAGGAAGCTCCCAGTTAGTCAACTCTTACAACATGCTTTTTGGGGAGGCAGTGGGTCTATTCTTTTTTTTCCCCCTATAATGGGACCCGGAACCCACACGGGGGATTAAAATATATGTATTAACACCTCACTTCAATTGAAACATATGCATTAACACCTCATTTGGCAACACATGGTTGGATTTTGTTTCCATAAACAGACTTTTTAAATATACATATATATAAACTGTAACAAACTTTTGACTCACGCGGGCGGGCGCGCGACACATCACACACGCACGCGCGCACGCACGCACTCTCTCTCTCTCCCTCTCTCTCTCTCACAACCTTTTCCAATTTACTTAAGTCTTCTGTGGGTCAGACTGTCTCTGGCTTTTTTAAACCAGATCGTGCAAGTTTTTTTTAAACATTTCTGTCTGTCTCTAATCAAAGGTTTCCAATGAAATCCTCAGCTTTAGAATAGTGACAGAAAAACAGGCGTGGAGGCATAAATTATGCTTTTCTGCAAGACTACAGAGAGAGAAAATATAACATGCGCAACTAATACACGATCTAGAACATAATATATTATCTCAAGGCTTATATTATTAATTTACATCACCTTGTAAGATGATATATTAATCCTGGATAAGTAATTTATGATTAAGTTCATGTAAACAAGAATGCACTTTTTATGTTATCACTGCCCAAAGTACAAATTTCTGGTTGACAAAGGACAGGGAATTCTTGAGCCTGATGACACAAGGTTAAATGAAATAATATGTGTAAGAATGTGAAAATGGAATCAGGATTTGATCCAGCAATGAGGAAAAGTAAAAGAATAACATGTGTGTAACTAGTGTGTTACGGGAAAAGTTAGCATCTACATATTAAGACATTTGCTGTGAGAGAGTGAGCATCTATGGATATGCGCGGTGTGCTATGATGTCATCACTTAAATTGTTAATCAATATAATCAGAGCCTGATGATTTATGGTCACATGGTTGAAAGAGTCGCCCAGAATTCTGGGATGTTTATTTTTGCCACCAAGGGGTTATAAAATAGTTTGTGAAATTGTCTTTTTTTTCCTACATTCCATAAACAACCTCGGCCGCATCTACGATTTGAAGTTATCTGATAGAGCGGAAATCCGGCATACACATAAGTCACTGGCAACATGCCTGCTTGCTATTGAGCAGTGAAGGCTGATCGGGAGGTTCAAGGTTTGGTTCTCCAGTTCATGTTGATTCCAAAGCTTCTCTGGCCGCCGCTCGTGTACAAGGTAAGCATGACTGGGTAGGCGGGACTGCAGTGAAGACTATGGAGAAAAAAATCAACACAGCCAAAAGGAAGTGGCTTGGAGCATCACCCTGTTTGACTGATCCGCATGGTGACACTTTGTTTATCGCTCTTTGTGATGTCATGTGTTACCCTCTGGCGCGAACATGGCCAAGTGGTGTGTGACCACCGACCCGAGATGCCCTCTATGCAGAGAGATGCCCTCTATGCAGAGCGAAGCAGATGCTTGAGCACGTATTGTCCTTAGGCAGTAAAACCCTAGGCCAGGGACGATATACATGGCACTATAATAAAGTCCTGAAAAGGTTAGCAAACATTATGGATCAAGCCAGGATGAGGGCCAATGTGCGGGCCAGACCTATTCCTTCCCCCCCTACCCCTAAAGGTAAAGTCAATAAGGTCACACCTCTAAAGGTAAAGTCAACAAGGTCACATACGCTCCATTAATGCTTGACTGTGCGAGAAACTGGTTTCTGTCAGTTGACCTGCCTGGTTTCAAAAAGTACCTAGAATCGATCCGAAAGACCAGCCTGAGACCAGACATGGTCCTGCACTCTACAGAAATACCAGCTCATCCTGATAAAGCTGACCATGTGGTACGAGCGCAGACAGAAGAAAATCACCTGTACAAGCTCGAAACGTACGGTGATCTTGTAGCCAGACTGATGAGAGATGTGGTGTACACAGTACAAATCTTCGCCATTGAGGTAGGCACAAGAGGACTTATATACTCATCTCCACTTCCACATACAATGTACTAAAGCACCTGGGCCTGCGAGGAAAAGAGAGTGAATGGGCATTAAAACAACTGGGTGAAGCTGCGGAAAGAGCTTCCAGCTTGGAACATCATGGGGAATGGGTCTCAGTAGACTGTTCTGAGTCCCTAGAGCTTTACATCCCTAAATGCCAGAGTGTCCGATAAAATGTTTTGTTTTTTTAAACACAAATTCAACATGTATGATGGGGGGAAAGGGGGCGTGTTGTTCAACATCCAGTACCAGCTGATCTTGCTATGCCAACTGAAAGAAGGGAGAGGAGACAGGGAAAGGGGACTAGAAATGAGACAGTGAAAAAAGCACCCTGGGCAGTGTCTATACCTTCACCCCACAAAGCAAAAAATGAGCTGTGAACTGCATATCGCTTGCTTGCTCATATAATGCCGGCATATATTTAAAGCCATGGTAGCGTGCACACTTGCCAGCGCAGTTTGCTGACGGTCAGTTTAAACGGTGTAACCACAAAAATTATAACAGCAAAAAGGCCTTTTGCTGAAAAATCACCCGAGTTCACCTTCTGTTATGTGTGTTCCGGTTACTGTGTGCAAAGTTCAAGGATTGGGGGGGGGGGGGGGGAGTGAAGTTTAAGGATTTTAGCCAGCTTTCATAAAAATCCTGAGTTTTTCCCGACCTTGAGCGGGATCTTGCATTTCCTGACTTTTTTTCCAGTTTCCAGATCCACTATGAACCCTGATATAACTTACAAATTCGAGCCCATCAATATTTTGTAATGTCATTTTTATTTTTAGCACATGAAAATTAGATAAGATTAGCTTTATTTTTATTTATTTTTTTTCATTTCTGGTACATTCTTGTTGTTTATTATTACACTTTTCATTTTTTTCTTCTTCTGGCACATTACTATGCATTACTTCATTGCTGAAAACATGATTCCTTAATAAATGTTTTGTCTGTTTTTCCACGGAAATAATCAACATTTCATACAACATATTTTTTTTTTTTTTTTTTTTTTTTTTTTTAAATTTTTTTATTTTTTAATTTAAGAAATCAAACTGCCTGAAAAAAAATATTGAAAGTATGTAAATCAGACATAAGTCTCCTACAACAAAATTACCCAAGTCCCATCCTAACACAATACGAGTCTACTGCTAACTTTTAACAGATACTATATGTATTTTGGAAGTGCAAATAGTAGCAGAAAGATGAGACATTTTACATCCACTGAAGCAATTTGTAAAAGAGTACCTCCACCACAAGTCTAATGTTTAGATGCAAGTCTTTACTCACATTCGCCTGGTTAGAGAGGGGAAATGAGAGCCACACATATTATATCTGAACAATGATACAAGGCTAATAGGTCACAATACTACACAGTAACAAATCAACAAAACTTTACACTTCAGATTACCCCAAAAAAAAAAGTCTTGGGGTGAAATGTGAAAGAAGAAAACAGTCTGAGCAAAGAAGATCACAACTGCTTGGATTCACAATATACTGGCCAATGAAAAAGTATACACTGAAAATAAGAGTGAATATACCTTATGGCCTCCAGATATAACAATTGTAGCTAGAATTATATAATAGAATTAACTGAATCACAGGCAAAAAACAATATCATCTGCTTGGAGTTGTGAATAATTAAGCAGAAAATGCAGAAGACTGGCTGAAAACCTGTTTGGTAAAAACTATTTCAAGTGAATTTAAAATTACAGCCCTCGCGCATGGGTTATGGGACCCCGTTGTCAGAGGAAAATAAATATATCCACTGCCCCTCCCCTAACAAGCACGTCATAAGAGTTCTCTAATTGGTGATGTTTCCTTTGAAGTCAGAGTGCACCCACCTGAGAGGTTAGGAACCAATAGTTTGCATACACATAAGCCAGATCTGTAAAACAAATGCCGAGAGAAGAACATAGAACAAGAATGCAGTCTGGAATGGTATGAACCACCAGAACTTTCCGTGGAGTTTAGAGCATGTAGATGAGAAGTAGGAGAAGAAATGACAGGTTAAGGCAATGAAATATTGAATTCATCCTTTCTTGTTCAATGTCATCACAGCAGCAACTCCATCTATGTTTGGTAAAACTTACTTCAACTCATGCATATCTCAAATCAAATATTTCAAACCTCTATTTCTGCTTGCTTCAAGGTGCTCTGCAAATTGTCAGAATCGATAGTTGGCATTTCCAGATATTATACAAGACAAAATGAATTACCTTGCTCCTTTTTTTTATTCATATGACCCCCCAAAAAAATTGTCTCTGTCATATAGTTGTGTATTCTGCCTTTCTTTAAACATTTTCCACACAATCATTTTTAGCTACTTTAGCTACCTAAGGAAGCTGCTGTGGTACCAAAGGGTTGCAATATCCATAGTACCAAGCCAAAGGGTTTACAACTCATGGTTTCTAGATTTAACCCCCCCCCCCCCCCCCCTCTCCCAAGCATCAGCAAGTCTATTCTTTTTTTTTTTTTTCACCCTAAAAAAATGCAGCCCCAGAACCCTCGCAGTGAGGTTTCGTTTTTTGGTCACTATATGACAGTGTGATAACAATCTTTCACTTTTGCACTAAGGGAAAACATTTGTTGCTGCTATTAAACATTTTTACAAGTTCCCTGTAACAAAGTTGTTTGTTACAAGCCTTTCCAATGTGGATTTAATCTAAACCAAGAACTGTTTTCCAAGCCCTTTAGATTGAAATAGCAATTCAAAACCACTTCTTTATTTTTTTTTATTATTATTGATATGTGTAAATTCAAAACTATCCATTTAGAGATGTAGTACTCACTTGATTTCCTCCTCAAGAGCTGTCTGAAACAATTTGGTGAGCAAGTGTTTCTAGTGATTTATCTACAGCCAAGTTTAAGGTTAGGGTTAGCATTAGAAGACACTAGATTAACACTCCAAAAAAAAGCACCACACAACAGCACACTTCCACCCCTTGAAATAATGGACTGTCAGGTCAGCTGTGGATTTCCCACGGGGATTTCGTGTTTGGGGTACGTTATAAATTAAGAACCTACCTTTCTTCTGAAATACTTTCTGCCTAGATGACTTCAATTTTTTGTACATTTACCTTTAACAGTTTCCACCGAGTATTAAACTCAGACAACAATATTTTTAAGTTAGCAAACTAACCAATATGCCAGGCTGTCACATCAGTAGTTAACAGAAGTTAAATCTAAACAGATAAAATGCAACAACAGCAGATTCCTTCTCTAGGAGGAATCGAAGAGGAATGATGAAGCTACCTGTAAAGTAATTCTGTTCTTGATAAGTAAGCCAATCTTGATGTCCATCTGGTCCAAGTCCTGTTCTAGCTGTTGGTTGGAGCGTATTTCTGCAACAACTTGCTGTCGTAGTTTCTGAAGCTCTGATGAAGAAAATATCATTCACAAATTTCAGTTCAGTTGTCAGGCTAGTTAATCATAACAAATATATATACAATTACACAAACCTTTATGCTATCTATTGTTTTTATTTATTTGTGTGTGTGCGTGATGAAATATGAGGAAGAACATGGTGACAGATCAGCAGAACATCCTTTCGGACTTCCACCATCAAATTTAAAAAACAAACACAAAAAAACCCACAACTCTGGCAGTCTCAGTGGGATGTTTCGTGTAAAATAAACATAGTGAAGCCAATTTAAAGGCCTGTGAATAATTTTGACACTGGTTATATTTTTTCTTTAAATTTGAGTATTTTTCTGCAAAATACCTTTCAATGTTTGGGGTGCATATTATACAAGGGAGCATCTTATACACTGACAGATACAGCAAAACCATGGTACATACTGCTGTTGGGGTGCAAAATGTTATATCAAGCGCCATACTGGAGCAGAAAAAGAAATTCTGGGACTGCTGGAGTGAGCCCTAAGCCCTTTCATGTTAAGTAATTATCATGTTAAGTAATTATCATGTTAAGTAATTATCATGTTAAGTAATTATCATGTTAAGTAATTATCATGTTAAGTAATTATCATGTTAATCAATTAAGCTCATCACTATGCTAACATAGATCATATTTTAACTTCAGCCACAAACTGGACACTTTCAGTTAGGTCTAATTCCCTGTAATGTCACTTTTCCTATTTGTCTATAGTGAACTGTTAACGAGATGCATAGTCATTCACTGTTTCGGGCCTGCAGAAATGTTTAGGAGGCCAGGATATGAACATACAGTTGAACCTCACTTAACGAGCACCTCTCATAACGAGTAATTTGCATAACGAGCAAAAAAAAATTGTAAAAGAATGACTTCCTTAACGAGCGATGTTTTGCATAACGAGTGGCGAGGAGAGAGCAAGTCCCTGATTGTGCTCATGTTACATCAGTCTGTGTTTAGCACTCGTTCCAGTAGCATCGTAGTGTCGCTTGTGATCACACATTTTCTCAAACGTGTTATATTGTGATATATGTACATGAATCCTCCAGACCTACAAGATGACCTTTCTGAAGAATTTAAGTTTATCAAGATCCAGTTTCTGCCTCCCAACACCACTCTGTTACTCCAGCCCATGGACCAGCAAGTTATTTCTAACTTTAGGAAGCTCTACACTAAAGCACTCTTCAAGCATTGTTTTCAGGTGACTGAAGGGACCAACCTCAACTCTCAAAGAGTTTTTGAAAAATCACTTCCACATCGTTGCCTGCCTCAAGATGATCGACAAGGCGGAGGAAGGGGTTCCCAAGAGAACCCTAACTTCTTCTTGCAAGAAGCTTTGGCTCGAGAGCGTTGTCGATTTATGACTTTGAGGGGTTCGAGACAGTACCTGTGGAACCTGTAGTCAACGAGATTGTGTTTTTGGCCACAATCGTGGGATTGTAGGTGGATAACATTGATATCGAAGAACTTGTGGAATTGCATTGTGTTTCACAGCAAGAGGTTTTGGAGAAAAGTTTGTCAGAGAAGGAGGAGGGGGTAACAGAAAAGCAACAATCTTCTGGCGAATTAAAGAAATGATAAAAGCATCGGAAACTGTTGCATCTTACATTGAGAAGCATTACCCTAATAAGGAAGAGGCTGTGCGCGCTGCAAATTTATTTAATGATAATGCTGTGTCGCATATTCGCCAAATTTTAAAGCGTCTGCAAAAATAAATATCTCTGGACATCTTTCTAGTAAAAAAAATTAATTAGCTATTTATCATAATTATTTCGACTTTTTTTTTTTTTTCTGCAAATCGAATTCGCATTCCAGGTGGGTTCATTCCACATTTGAAGAAAAGATGAAGATGAGATTCACTCTCCTTAATCATATGTATATAATTTTCTTTGAATAAACATTATACACAGCATTTTGTGAGTATTTTTTTCGACATGGAATGCATTGTCGTATTTTACATTAATTTATATGAGAAAAATTGTTTCTCATAACGAGTGTTTCACTTAACAAGTATGGTTCTGGAACCAATTATGCTCGTTGAGCGAGGTTCTACTGTATTAATTAAAACTAGCACCGCAGGGCAACATTTGAGCCAAATGACATTTTTAAAGCCAAGCTGGTGTCAAATTTTCCTGTAAACCTCAGTGATAGAGGTCACGGCATGAGTTTCCAGATTCATGTTTTTTAGGCCCCAGAAAATGTACTCCTTTGAATGATTCACCCTGCTCGTGTAAATTCATTACTCCGTCTTACATATTTCAGGGGGAAATGAAGATTAATACATTTCAATGCATTTAATAGTGAACATTGTTGGAAGAGAAAAATTCTTTACAATAATAAAACAAAAAATTCTAACAAATAAAATAAGGACTCTTTTCTAGAATTCAAATGGGTCAAGGCACATTTTTTTTTGTGTTTCCAGGGTGACACGGTTAACACAATATAATTACAATTTACTGACTGTCAGACAAACCTAGTTCTTCTGCATAGTCATTGTCACTGGCATCAAGAAGATGGACAAACTTTCTAACCACTGCAAGTGATGGATTCTCATCCATTGCTGTTGAAAGATTCAAAGTCAGTATTACTTACAACTTTCACAGTGGCCTTATGTTTCAAAAGAATATATAAATATATATATATTTTTTTAATTGCATTATTTCTTTCAGAATATCAGTTTAAAGACAGGACCCCCAAAAAAAAAAAAAAAAGCATTCAAAATATATGCAAAACACAACACATAATTAATAAATTTTTAAAAATTTAGCTGACGCTCAACACTCAAGGGAAGGGTGAGACGAATATACAATTAGACTGGTACCATCGGAATTTGAACTCTTCACTTGCTGCTGAAGAAGGGGACTGAGTGCTTATGTGTGCGCCCCCCCCCCCCCCCCTCCCCCCCGAGTGCTGTCAAGTCAATTTTTGATTCAACAAATTTTTTTTTTTTTTTTTTTTTTTTTTTTTTCAAGTTTTAAAAAATGTAATAGAAAATATTTTCAATCTGCTCACAACGAAGAACTTACTTAAAGCTTTGTAGTCTTGCCTGGCTAGATTTGACCGGAAGTATGCTTGAATTTTGATGATTGAATCTTCCTATCAACAAACATTGTGGGAGGAAAAAAGGTTAACTCGAACTGTAACAACTTTGTAACACTAAAATAACTGAATGTAACTATAAAGTTTCCATTATTACAGCATAAAGTACAGGGCTTTGCTTGTTTAATCACTGATCCACTTGTCTGTCTGAGTTCAAATCTACAGTAAATGGTTTTTTTTTTCCTTCCTGGCATGACTCGGAACTCTTCTTCTTCTTCTTATACCAAAATCACAGATTAGTTCAATATTTGTGTCTCGCCCCATCCATTTGGCCAGGCCATCAAGTATTTACCTTTGCCTTCCCCTTGTTCTTTGCAATGGGATGCTGGACATTGAAAAAGAGTAACCTAACTGCGTTGCCTAGTCAAAATTTGGAGTTTAAATTCTACATAAAGTATTTCAGGATCCTCTCCGGTGCTAGCCTTCGTGCATTGCGCTGAGATTCTTCGGACTCAGGTTTGCGTCAGAAGTAAAACAGAGCGCTTATGGGTAACTACCTTTGTGCCATGATGTTGATCTGTTGTCTAAACCTAAACCTGAATCTAGCTCTCTGCATCAATAATTGGTGTGAAAAACATTGATTGTCTATATCTAATTATTCTAAAACAGTGTTTCCTAAACTTTTCTTAGTCGCTGCGCCTTTTTTTTTTTTTTTCCCAATTTAGATTTTTCCACGGCGCCCTAACCTAAGTAAAAGTGTGACTATTCGTATGTAAGAGATTGATTTTTTTTTTAAAACATGTGTATTTTTTTCAATATTTCGTGGCACCCCTGTGAAGAGGTTGCAGCTCCCCAGGGCGCAGAGTGTGAGAATCACTGTTCTAATAATTGACGTCTTTCATTTGTCTCGGTGAGGACTGCTTCATTTGTTTACAGCTAGGCGGTGACATATATGCCTTTCAGCTGAGCACATCCAATTTCAGCAAATCCTTAGTTTACAACATTCTTGTTAAGGAGCTGTGGCTCTACTCTTTAATCATTTTCCTCTTCAGATCCCACACTGGAAACTGTGAACTTTCTCGAAGCTAATAAAACATTTTCTGGGTGTTGAGATTGCCAGCGTGACACTGTACATTTCAGGCCAATGAATGCTGTCCGGCCAAAAGACATGTCTTGCATTATATTCCCAATATACTTCAACAGTATGGAATTTAAATCTTTTTAACTACAGTATAAATCAACATTATTCAAAAGAAATTATTTCCGTGATTTTGATTTTTTTTTTAAACTAATGATAAACCAAACTTACATGGTCTTTAAAGTACTGAAGTCTGTCCTTATATGCTTTTCTTGCCTTCCACATTCTGAAGTTGCTCTGGATCTGTTGGTAAGCCACACATTGAGATTTGTTGAATGATGTTATATCATTTCAAACAATAAAAACTTCTACAGCTAAATAATGACCATTATAATCATAACCTATGAATGCCACCTCAGAGGCAAGAGACAAAATAACATATTCCAAATTACTCACCATCAGAATGCGGTGCAGAGCCATGGTAGCATAGTGGTTAGATCCTCACCTTATGGCCAGCAAGTATTGGGTTTGAATCCATATTGAGTCGGATTTATTTTTTTATGAATTTGGCTCTCAGGTCGACCTAAAATAGCTACCAAGTATAAAGTCTTAAGGTGTAAAGCTGGTCAGCGTGATGTTGACCCCGATACCCATCGAATGTCGATTTGTCTATAAAAATATGAGTCATCATATGCCATCTGTTTGGGAGTCGTAGTGGCGGAGCAGCTAGAGCTCGCCTGTGGATTGAGGGGTCGTGGGTTCTCTCCCTGGCGGAGCCCGACTTTTCTTAAAAATTACCTTAGCTCCCAGGTCAACCCAGCCTTGAGTGGGTGCCGTCCTGGGAAATAAAGGTGGCCGGCATGATGCTGACCACATTACCCATCTTGTGCCGATTGGTCTATAAAATTCAGGTTAAGCCCTATACGCCTAAAGGCGTGTAAAAGGGTCTTTTACTTTACTTATATACCATATATGCCCATGAAATGGGTCCTTTACTATATTTTGGTGCTATCACTGCAGTGAAGATTGGCAGCAATTTTGCATGTGCCGTCACTGTTATAATATCTTAACAGTATGTGCCCATTTACATCTTACACACCCTCTGTTTGTTTTACACTGACTTTTTCCCTCCCTTATGACTTCCAGTAGATTAATTTGTCATCTGTGTGACCAAAGTATATTTTTTCTTATTTTATTTAATTCAGCGATATTCCCCACAAAATTTTCTTACATTTTCCTACTTGTCTTTATTTTTTCATTTTAACAACTTTCTCATTTTTTCTAATTTTACAAATTTCTCAGTCTTCTGAAAACCAACATTTCAAAAGCCTTTATTCCCCATCTCTTTCGACTATGATTCATGTTTCCGCTCCACACAGCCATTTACTTCTTCTTCTTCTTCTTCGCGTTCACCAGCTGTACACTTTGGCAGAAAGTTCTGGTTGTTTGTCCACTACTGAACTGCAGTCCTGCTCCAGAACCTGAGTGTTGCGTGTGCATCAGTTTTACAGATCTCATTCTCTTGAATACAGACTGTTGGTTCCTTGCCTCTCCGGCAGATGCACTCCGACTTCAAAGGAAGCTCCCCAATTAGTCGACTCTTACGACATGCTTTTGGGGAGGCAGTGGGTCTATTCTTGTTTTTCCCACGATGGGGCCCCGCAACCCACATGGGGGAGCCATATTCAATACTAGTGCTTAGATATAATTTTCATAAAACCATAAATATGCTGCTTTTTCTATTTAATTTTTATCTGTCTCCGGCGTGATACTGACCACATCACCCAGCAAGTGCCGATAGGTCTATAAAATATAGGTCTAGCCCTGTATGTCCTATATGCCTAAAGGCATAGAAAAGGGTCCTTTAATTACTTTTTTTTTTTTTTTTTTTAACTTTTTATCTGTCTGACATTTTTAAACACACACTTCTTCTTCCTAGTCTTTTATAAGTTCTTATTAATACATATAAATTCACTACTTTTATTACACCTAGTCTGCATTGATCATTATTCTCTTGTGAGATAAACACAAGCATAAGTAATTCAAAAATACAAACTAAAAATGCTATAAAGAAAGCAAATAAGTAACCATTCAACAACAGGTTGCTGTAAACTCCACAGGAACTTGTATCAGAAGTTTCAAATTGTGACTCATCCTTCAACAGGTCCTTTACAGAACACTGCTCTCTTCATGGAATGCCTGAATGTCTCTCTTTCTCTAGCACAGGGCTAGTCAACTAAGTTTACTCAGGGAACAACATTTTGACAATGAGGATTGTCACAGCCCCAGATCATTAATATAATACAGCTGGCAGTGATCCGAGGGCCACTTGCTCGGCCTTTGCTGACCAGATTTGGCCTGCGTGCTGCCAGTTGAATAGCCATGCTCTAGCCAATTCTCCATACCTTTGTGCTTTCACAGCCAATTCATCTTCAATTTCTTATATCCACGTTCACAAAGGTCTGCCTCCGCCTCTGTTTTCCAGAAAATACCCATCAAACACTGTTCTCCAGGCCACGTTTAATGAGGCTAAAAATACCTCACCTTTTGGGACAGCATGCTGTTAATGAGCCAATTCTCTTCAATCTTCAGATCATACAGGTCGTCTGTGTTTTTTTTTCTTCTTCTTGATCTAAAGTATTCTAAGAATTTTCTGTAGCATTTCAGTTCAAAAGCTTAAATTTTCTCTTCCAACGACTGAGCAAGAGTCCAGGACATATCTATTTGTTGCCACGGGAAACATGCAAGATCTGACAAAAATTTACTTCAACTTGCTAGGCTGTTAGTCTGTGGCTAGTCTAGAATAAATGTTCCAACAATCTGACAGGACCAACAGTCTGTGTACAAATATCTGTAAACTGGATATGCACACAAAAATAAAGTTCTAGAAAAAGACTAAAGCCAGTCCAGAAGTGGGCAAACAACCAAATTTCCCACTGAAGTTTACAGCCGATGAATGCTAAGACAAAGAAAAGACTACTCACCACGATAACAGAGTCTGTGTTGTCTTTGAGATAGTTGAGTCTCTTCAGGTACTTTTCCCGCTGCTTTGATCCTCGCCACCATGCCTATCAATGTTATTGCATTATATTAATGTAAAGAAGCAGAAATGTGGAAATAAATGTATTAATATGATTTGAAGAACCACAGAATACAATCTTTTGGTTTTCAACTCTTAACATCTAAACTCAATATAAAGGAAACAGAAATCTTCCTTTCAATGCAAGAATATCTATCTATCTATCCTCTTTTACCCCGCCAGGACATCACACAAGCGATAAACACCCAATGACACAAAGTGCCACCATGTGGTTGAGGATCGCCCTTGGAGAGGTCCCAGACACAGCGTTACGCCATAAGACCATATTTATGGCCGGGCTATATTGCGGCCCCTGGCAAGAGCCAGAGTAGGGCTTCAAAAAAAACAAAAAATTGCATCTCACAAGGAGATGACCAGATTAGTATGCAAGAATACAGTATACATAAATTCTCATACTATTATACAATGACATGCAGTTGAATGACACACACACACAACTGTAGAATAAAAGACTTTCATAGACAAACAAGTAAACCACACATCTATAAACAAGACAAGGTACCTGAATCTTCAAAATTGCTGGCAACTGTCGCTTCATAAAGTCTATTCTCTCTTTGTAGGACTTCCGTGCCATGTGACCACGAACATTGGCCTGAATTTTGGTGATGAGGCCCTCATTTGATTTCAACATGACTTCTCTGTCATGTTTTGCTGTCACTTCAGAGATGACTTTCTACAAATAGACGAGACGGATATTAGGCATGCATGATATAAACCAGAGAGAGGAAGGTATATAAATAATTATCCCAAATGGCTGCTGAGGGATTTTTTTTTTTTTTTTTTACGTGGCTGAGCTAGACCGCCTGTGAACTAGGAAACAAGGATGACCAAACAGCACCGAGACTGCAGTGTCCCATAAAACAAACCAGGAATACTAACCGAGGCAACAAATGTCTGCAGAAGTTGGATGTGTCTGCCCAAAGACGCAAATATCACAGCCGTGCTGTGTGGAACACTGTATTTATGTCCTCAGATGAACAAAGAAGAAGAAAAGTAGAAGAAAAAAGGGTACATACTAAAGGAACACATTCAACATAAAACATGCTTCTGTAATGAAATATAGGCAGAAAGGGGTTAAATGAATAAAGCATACATCTCAGATCAGCATAAAGGCACGCCTATCCCTCACTGGTTGGCATGACAAAAAAACAGTGATTAGAAAACTGGCCGACCAGCGATACAGATAAAACCAGATGCACTGTGACCAGTTGAATAGATACGTTTATCCAAACGTGACCACCAGAGATAGATGACAGGGGAGTGATTGAGAACCCACGCGGAGAGAGTAGGAAGCGCAGGAATGAGTAGGAGGGAGTCGGTAAGTGGCTAGCGGAGAAGGGAGGAGAAGAGTTAGAGGGAGCTGCTTGAGAGAGCAGTTGGGAAAACTAGAGCTGTGCTTCGTTAGAGGAGATATGTTAAACTTGGAGTAGCTAGAACAGTGATTAAGGAACCCATAGAGACATAAGAATAGCCAGTAACAAGATAATGAAGTGTTCCTATAATATTGGTTATTGAAATGATTCATCCTGTTTGTCTTGACAATATTGTTAATAAACAAACTCTTGTGTAATTGTTACATCACTGGCTTTGTTGTTAAATACGATTCAAGAGAGCTACGAACTATATCCATAATACACTATGTCCGAATTAGGCACATCTATTTCTTGAGGGATGTGAAGATACAACTGTGTCACACTTCTACCCTCCACTTAACGACAAAGGCAAACTTGAATCAGTGTTCACAGATAGGTATACAATTATAATCTTTCTGTAACCCTGGACACTGATAAAAGGGGTGTCATAATGAATCCTCAGCAATAAGTTTTTCACCGTTTTTTCCCCTCAGCAAAGCGCACAAATGTGGAAATACTGAATTTTTTTTTTTTTTTTTAATCAGTCTATAATTTATCTTTTCCTTGTTTGCCCTCAATCAGTATCTGGGGAATCAACTTTGAGATGGTGTCATTATGTGTGGCATGTCCAAACCAGATAAGCTTCTACAATTCACAACTGAAAATGTGTATATGACAGGTCAATGATAATTGTACCTAATTTTACACTAATATTGTAACATTTCTTTAGCTCCTAGGTTGACCCATCCTAAAACTGGTACCAGGTAGCTCCTTGGGAAGTAAAAGTAGCTGGTGTTATGCTGACCACATCACTCTCTAACTGGTCTATTAAAAAAATATCATTCTACCATAACATGCCTGACGCAGCACTAGCATAAAAAGAAAAAAAGGTCCTTTACTTAATTAATATTACTTAAGTAAGTAAAAGACCCTTTCCCACCTCTTCAGGTATATATAAGGCTAGACCTATATTTTAAAGACCACTCAGTACTTGGTGGGCTGTGCGGTCAACATCATGCTGGCTGCCTTTACTTCCCTGGACTGAACCTGGTACCCACTCAAGACTGGGACGACCTGTGAGCCAAGTTCAATATTGAAGAAAGCCTGGCTCCTTCAGAACCCGACCCCATGAGCTTTCGATCCGCAGGCGAGCGTCTAGCCACTACACCAAAGCAACTCAATATCATTACTGTATAGCATTAAATACCTGTATCTCATCCTTGGTCAGAAGTGAGTAATCCTTGATGATTGAGTCCCCTCTAGTCCAGGCATGAGCACCAGTGTTCACATTACAGAAGAACTTTGTGCCATCCTTGAGTCTGTTCATCATCCATCCACTGCCTGTCTCACCTACAGAGATCAGAAAACTATTACTCAAACAGTGGACTCCATGCATGTCCTCTTATACTGAATAATTCAGCAAGAGATCACAGCAACTAGTTATAAACTGATCTGTTTTAGTATGTAAATAACAGCTGAGATTCATATGTTGATGCGCAAAAAAAAAAAAAAAAACACCAAGTCATAGTCGTAACTGCTCACAATGTCATCAGAAATATTCTTCTTCTTCTGTGCTCACTTTTAAACTGGCAGTTGGCACACTGTGTTGTGGTTTAAGGCTAGGCTGCAATATCTGCCCCCCCCCCCCACTAAACCCACCCGCGCACGCACGCACTCTCTCTCTCTCTCTCTCTCTCTCTGGGAGGCCCTGTGGACCCACACAGGATATTAAACTAATAACATGTGCTGCCCGCTTATATAAAAAAAATGTCTGGTCAGAAATTCAGGCTAATATTGTCAAAAGTTTCAGATACAGCAATTAACTACACACAACTCAAAAATCTCAAACCGCAGCAATAAATCTGTTTAATAATGTCTAACAACGCTCCTAAATGTGGTCTCTGATGTCTGGATTCTGGTCTCATTCTGTGTGTGTAGCGCTGCCTGCACAACCCTTTCCTCAAAAGGCAAATTGATGGTCCTCCACCTCAGACAGATTAACATACAAATACAGCATGTACCAAAATAAGTTAACAAAATTTCACCAACCCTGTTTGGAAGACTCCTCAACTGCAGCTGCTAAAGCCTGTTCATAACCATCAATGCAATTTCCTGTCACAGAGTGGAGATTTGCGTCTGAAGAAGTAAGTGCTGACAGCAAAGCAGTTTTGTCCCCTGCCTTCAAGGCCTTGTTAACAGCAGCAACACCGTGGGACACTGAAAATATTATTTTAAAATTATCAATAATTTTAAATCTTACCCCCCAAAAAAAAAAAAAAACAGAAAAGCAAAATTACAACATGTGAGATAAGATGTATAAAAAATGTAGGGAAAACAAGAGACAGTCGCCAATTAGAACAAGAGCAATGGTAGGCACATTACTAGTAAATGATTTCACAAAACATCAAAGAATCAGATGGTTTGGTATCTGATCAGAAAAGAACAAAATCAGCTAGCAGTTAGAGTGTACTACCTGAAAATAGCAGGCTACAAGGCAAGAGGGGGACCAAGAAAGAGATGGGTGGAAGTAGTAAAAGAGACACCACAGAGATGCAACATGACATTAATACAAGCTATGCAGCTACCAAAAGATAGGTCGCTACATGTGACTCTTCTCTGCAACACTTTACAGCAAAGGCTTAGGAGGAGAGAGGGGGGGGGGGGTTTAAATCTTAGGTTATTTTATATAAGACTGATATAAGCTTTTTTCAACATTATTTTGCTGTGCTTCTGGATTTATGGCATTCTAAAAACTAACTAAGTAAAGAGCCCTTTTTATGTCTTTGGCACCTCTGCTGTATGAATCTAAACACATATATTTATAGATCAATCAGCGCTTGATGAAAAATGTGGTCAGCCAAACTAGCATGCTTCCCAGGATATCTTCTTATACACATTTTAGGCTAGGTCAATATGGAAGCCAAGGTTTTAATTATTTTAAAAAAAAATTTGAATTAGATGTAGATTTGAACACAAGTCCTTCAGCCCAACAAGCGTCTAGCCACCGCTATCAGCTTATTCTTGGTGAAATCATGTGGTGGTGGTTTCCCTGTATATCTCAGACAGAACAGTGGAAGATGAGCTAGCAAACATTGCTGCCACTAAAGCCTGCTTTACCATTTTTCCAGTGTAGACAGGAGGTGTCTTGAAGCCTGGAAATTTCAGGCCGCATGGCTAGTGCTGTCACCACAGACTGTGCGGGTTAGAATTTAATTGTCCCCGACAGAAAAAAATCCCAACCTTACACAAGATTCAAATCCTAGTCTCCAACACAGAAGTGGTCAGCTGTTCTTCAGCAATCAATCATTCAATAAACCATATAGGTTTGAAAAACGCAATAGACTTAAACTGCCAATTACTGCCTTTGTTATACCACTTTTGCGGTGTAGGCAGGGGGGTCTTTGAGCCTGAGGATTTACTGCCGCATGACTAGTGCAGACACCACGACTGTGCAGGTGAGGCTTTTATTTTGTCCCAGACAGAAAAATCCCCATCCTTACCAAGTATTCGAACCTGGGTCTCCCACTTAGAAGCCCAGCGTTCTAACCGTTCAGGCAGCAGCTTCTCACAAACTTAAACTGCTGCTCTTTAACCACATGCATATAGTAAGTAAAGAACCTTTTTTTTTTTAATAGCCACATTGTGAGTGATGTCAACATCATGCTGGCCTCCTTTACTCTCTAGGACATTACCTGTACTTATTTTAGGCTGGATGGACATGGCAGCCTATACCAATTTTGACAAAAGTCTGCCTCAATGTGGATTTAAACCTAAGACCGTTGGACTAGCAGCAAGTGTCTACCCACTACACTACCACGGTATTAATTACAACATAATGTTACCATAATGATTGGGTAGAAACAAAGATGGGATGATTTTAACCAGATTATTGTTTAATATGTGTGCATGAGCCTGAACAAACATACAGGTATCCCCTTATATTGTCATTCTTCTTCTTATAACCGATGCCAAGTGGTGTTGGTAGTCATGTCTATCTACAACCTGAGTAACATGCAGTTGTTACCAATACTTCAGAACTGTAGGATATCCAAACCCCTTCTGTGTTCGCCCTAAAATTACATCTGGTAAGTTGTGTTGTGGTTTACAGCTAGAGTGCAATATACCCATCTTTCTGACCAACGCATCTGATTTTCACAACAATTTGTAGACTTTTACAACATGCTTCTGTAAAGAGACGGTGAGTCTACTCTTTTAATCCACCAAAACTGGTCCAGTGATTCCACACAGAAATATGAACCAGTAAACCAAATAAAAAACAGCTTGGGCAAGTGGCTTTTACTCCACAACCAGAAAAAAGTTATCCATACACACAGCAGCAAAAGTACAGAGGTAACCAATTTTAAAAAAAAAAAAAGTATTAAAACATAAGGACTGGAGACAAAATGCTTACCCTTCAGTCCTTCTTGTGTGTTAGTGTTAGCTTTGTCCACACAAGACTGAATCTCTTCCAACCACAGCATTGCTGAATCATCATGACTCTCCTTTTAAAGAAAATATATAAAGCTTTAATTTGTTCAGTGAACAAACAATGTCGATTAGAAATTAGAAACTAATGAAACCATATCGCAGGAACCTTTTAAAATATTAAACAGTTTAAAAGAGTGATAAGGATATTCAGAAGGAAAATTCAGAAAAGAACTGCATCATAAGGGAACAATCTACATTCAAATGTTACATCACGAGAAGGGGAAAACTGAGTTTATCATGATAGTGAGAAAGTTGGATGGGGAAGAGAGGCTGAGGGAGACCAAAAGTAAAAATGCTGGGCAGAAACAAAACAAAAAAAAATATATGAGTCAGAAGAATGTGGACACACATGACCACCAGCGCCATACAGCACAGAATATAATTATTACAATACATGGGAGAAGACTCGAACAATGAGCAGCTATCACTGTACACTAAAGGTAAGGTGGTCTATTGCAAACCACAAGTATACTTTCTTAAGTAAAGTAAAGTTGGGAGATGTGCACAGGCGTTATCGCACACGCTTATAAACCATAAAGGTAAAGGTAAAGTCTAAAGATGTGAAGCAGCATCACCGTTATAAACAGTTATAAACCATAAATGCTCTGCCACCAGTAAGGACAACTGATAAGAAACTGTCTGCGTGTGTCACCATCCACACGCAACTCCAAGGCTAGTGACATTCCTCCATTTACCCTAGAGAGTTAACTTTGGTACCCATTACCTAGAGGCTGGGTGAACCACGGGAACAGCCCAGATTGTGGGATACTTACTAATACATGCCTATGCTAACTACAACCAACATACCTCAGCCTTTTTATCCTTCCGTTTAGCCAGCAGCACCTGGTAGTGGAATGCCTGTTCAGGATTAATGTTCTTCAGCTTAGCTGCCGGGAGCTGAAGAGCTTGTAGTGTTTCCTTCTCATTTCCACTGTCAATAGCCTCATTGATGTGAGTGATGGCCATAATTTCTGTAAGTGAAAACACATAAATCCTGATGATAGGTTTCAGGTTTGAACAACAGATCAACATCATGGCACAAGGGTAATAGCCCATAAGTGCTCCGTTCTTCTTCTAACTCGAGTCTGAGTCCGAAGAAGTTCAGCATAGTGCACAGGCTCTGTAGCACCGGTGAGGACCCTGAAATACTTTGGGTAGATTTTTAATGCCAAATTTTGCCAGGGCAGGACCGTTAGGTTTCTCTTTTTGATTTTTTACTTGCGCAACAATGCACATGGGCGTCTGATCTCACTGCCCAGAGACCAGGGGGAATTACTAGAAGTCCAAGTCCACGTGAAAAAATCCTAGCCCTTACCAGGGATTTAAACCGGAACCTCTAGCACTCAAGGCGGACACCATGCCTCAAGACCACGCAGCCACTTCCTGATGATAATAGGGGGCCCTGAGTAGTTGTGTTACTTTCATTTGTGTTGCCCCTTCACACAAAAATGGTCTGAGAGGGTTGGACACTAGAGGAGCCAATAACACAATAGCAACACAATGAAACATTACATGTGGCTAGAGAGCCATAAACAAAAGGAAATGAAAGATACAAAATGAAATGTTTTTATGAAACACCTTTTCCTCATGTGAGTTCTGGGGCCTCCATTTGGGGGTGGGGGGATGGGGGGGAGGGAGGGAGGGGGAGGGAGGGAGGGAGAGAGAGAGAGAGAGAGAGAGAGAGAGAGAGAGAGAGAGAGAGAGAGAGAGAGAGAGAGAGAGAGAGAGAGAGAGAGAGAGAGAGAGAGAGAGAGAGAGAGAGAGAGAGAGAGAGAGAGAGAGAGAGAGAGAGAGAGAGAGAGAGAGAGAGAGAGCTGAAAGGTGCAGATACTGCAACCTAGCTGTTAACCAAATCACAACATGCCCACCATCCTTTCAAGGACGAATGTAAAACAAGAAGTACAGCATTCATCTGTATACCTCAGTATTAGGCTTTAACCTTATAACCTTTTGTTTTCTTCTTCTTCCCATTCATTACTGTAAACTCCACCTGAATGTTATGGCTATCTGTCAACTTCTGGACTTTAGTCCTGTTTCAGAATTTTAGTTTTGAATGCACATCTGTTTTACACATCTGGTTTTATTTGTATGCAGACTGTTGGTAGCTCACTTCTAAGGCAGATGCAGACGAAACTCTGACTTCCTGGAAAACAACCTTAATTAGTCTACATTTATGACATGCTTGGGAACACATGGGGACACCTGTTGTTATTTCTATGTACCCTGCCATACCTAGCAAGCTCTACATTTGTTGCTACTGTGACATAAATGTATTAATTACAACGAAACTTACTCTCATGCTCCTCATGCACCTGCAGATTGACACTGTTAACACACGCCACAATTTCAGCATGAGTAAGCAAATCATTGGCTTGCTGTGTGAATCAAGTAAATACAGTCAATAACATTTTTACAAACTAGTTAACATACACTTTAGGTTTAAGGAGAAATTGAAAACTGTTTTTCCCCCCAAAAGTAGGCTCCTACTGGAATGATCCAGGGGTTGGTGGCAGCCATAAGTGCAAGTGAGGGCATGTCGGGTAGGGAATATAAAATCAGAAGAAAAAAAAACTGGTTCACATCTGTTTCATCCGTCGTGTAACAGGTAATTACATTGATTACTTTTTTTTTAAAGCATTCACCGACTTGAAAAAAACTCCAGGGAAAAGTCATGATTGTTCATCCAATTCTGAATGTTGGCTTTATTTCAGGAACTGAATCTTGCATATACTTTCGTTTAAAAGATCTGGCTTATTTGAGTCCTGTGTGTTAAGTGCTGGTCTCTCAGAAATATGCACTTCGACTTTCAAGAAAAAGGATTACTAAATTTTCCATATTTCTCATTGCAACTGTTTGTTCAAATACAGAGAGCAGATTTCCAGGGAGTGTTAATGTTTTTTGTTTTTTTTTAAAGCGGTAGTAGCCCAAATAAGTTTGGGAATCTATTATCTAAAGGCAGAGGGAAAACATATTTCTAAAAGTACTACAAGCATGTGCCATAAATCAAACAAAATAGAAAATTTTACGTAATCAGAACCTGTCGTAACTTTTACAAACTATAGCTTGTATGTTAAAGACATAAAGCAGAAAAATTATAACCAACAAACATTAAAAAATCTGAGGTTAACGATGAAAGCAGATTCAAACTGCAGGTCTGTTAGCACAATATACAGCACATGCCTTTGCAGGTTTTAACATAAGATCATTTAGTGCCTGTATTTCTTTAACATAAAAAAAAAGCTCAGTATAAACATGTTAGGTCTTTAGATTTATATGTGTCACATATAGTCCTCACAATATATATCCTGTCTTCATTGCCTGTACTCAACAGTTTTTGAAGCAGTAGAAGGGGTTTTAAATACTTTTCTTTTTTTCTTAGTGTTCACTGGTTGTAAACTCCTGGTTCTGTTTGCTCAGTAAATTCTGGACTTCGCTCTTGTTCCAGAACTTGAGTTTTGCATTCACATCTATTTTATAGATCTGGTTTATTCCTATGTAGACTGTTGGGTTCTTCACCTCTTAGGTGTACTCTGAATTCAAGGATTAGTGGGTTCCTACAACATGCTGTTAGATGTATGTGTGTCTACCCCATCCCATCCAACTGAGGCCCCGGAACGTACACAGGACGATCTTGAACCTGGGGTTGCATGGCTAGTGCAACTGCCATGCACTGTTCAAGTTAGGATTTTTTAATGTCCACTTCCTTACTGAGGATAAAAACCCGGGTCATCTGAATGAGAGCAGCGCTTTGTAACCCCTGCATGCACGCACATGTGTGTGTGTGTGTGTGTGTCCCCCCCCCCCCCCCCCCAACCTAAGAGGTTATGGTGTCTGCCCCAGGAATGAATAAGTTCTTATTCCAGAGTATTTAGTCATGACAGAAGCGATGATTTCAGGAGGAGAGTCGGCATAGAACCAGTGCTGAACTTTGTCGGTAGACAACGAATAAAATGGTTTGACTATGAAACAAGATAGGCAACAAACAGGGCATCACAGAGAGCAATGTTACATAGACAGAGCTGTAATACAGCTAAAGATCGACCATGCAAAAGATGGACCATGGAAATATCAGAGGCACTGAAAGTTATTAAATAAGAAGTGAAAAGAAGGGCCCGTTCCAGAGATCTCTTCCTGCCCTAACGCTGTGAGGCATTCCAGGAGTGAAAAGAAGAAGAATCCCAGAGTTTTTAAAAAAATGTGGCCATACATTCAAATCTGGAAACTCATGTCAACCCAGCCTAAAACAAGCACAAGAAAATATATTAGGAAGTAAAGGTGGCTGTTATAATGTTGACATCACCAATCAGGTAATCTGGTAATCTTAGTTTCAGCTTCATAGCAAACGGGTCACCCCATAGTTGCTCCACTACTGTGCCAACGAAAAACACAGAATGTTTATCAGTCCCTTGTGGAAAGATTGACAGATTGCTGTCTAACATGCACTAGCATACACACGCATTAAAAGCATGCGGTAGCCATCCTAAGTGCTAACACAAACAGTTCGACATTAGAAATGCAGTTCATCATGGATGGTAGCACTAGCAGAAGTCACCAACAGATCAGCAGTTGCACGTGCGATCAATTTTAATCACATAATGGCACCACCAATATTGCGACAACCGGCATTGCACCATTTTCTGAATCTACAATTCACACCACCACGTTGGTCTCAGTCAAAAAACATTCCAAATTAAATCTGCAGCTCACAGTGTATCCTTTCAGTCTGCAAATGGAGCAAAAATGCAACAGGCACCGTCTGGTAGAAGCAAGAAAGAAAATTGCCGCAGCTCAAAACAGTGGCCATGCCTAGCTTCTATTTTGCTTGAAAACCCCGATCAGGTGCCCACTGGTCTTAAAAAAATATGAGTCTATCCCCCTACGCTAGGGTCTTTGACCTTGCTTATTTTTGCTCAGCTGATAAATAATGCTGCATGACTGCGGTAAAATCAATGTTTTATTTTTGTTCTTATTCCCTTGCATATATAAGCTGTGGTTACACAAGAATTGCAGTCTGATAAGGGACAGTACCCCGGCCTTTCAGCAAAGCTGCCTGGGTTTAATTCTTTTGTGGCAGGATAGTTTTCTAATTCTAAATGACTTCACTTAGCCCAGCCTCACAAAACAAGAATACAAACTCTTCATAAGAAAAGACTCAGAAAAATGGATACGGTTACCCCATTCCATGTTTCCTAACCAATATAAATAAGTTCTATGACTGCATGTTTCTACAGCATTGTTCTGGGAAATTACTTTTTACTAAATATTTTATTGAATTTCTATAAATATGCTCACGTCTGCTTTGTTAGACTTCTGAGTTGCCAGGCTGTCCTGATACTTCTCCATGGTGTTCTCATCCAGGTCCAGAATGTGGGCTGCTGGTGAACTCAGAGCACTGAAAGTTACCTGGGGGTTTCCGGCATCAACTGCCTTGTTAATAGCCCAGACTGCAGCAATTACTGTTGAACAGAATGTCACATATTACAAATTTAATATGATGTACTCTGATTGTTAGCTTCAATTCTCGGTGATAGTTTCTGTTACCACTTAACAACTTTCTGAGCTGTATTTAGAAAGAAAGGAGGGAGTGGGAGTGATAAAGAGAGTACAAGGGAACTGAAGACCAAGAGAGAGGGTTATGAGCATATATATATATATATATATATATATATATATATATATATATATATATATATATATATATATATATATATCACTATACACACACACACACACACTCACACACAGATACCATATTTTTCTGTGTAAAAGACAAACGCATTTAAGACAATCCCCAATTTTAAACTTAACAAGTTTAGGAAAACACAGTGTCTTTTACACTAATGAATATGGTACATCCCACCATAAAAACAGTGTTTTTGTACTCTCATGTCTTACAAGTGAGCCATGCATGCACTGCTTCTGCATTCACACGGATTACAACTGGGCCATGAATGCACTAGCTGCGGTAGTGGCCTGCAGGTTTAGGGTTTGACCAGGAGCTTTCATAGCCACATCAGTGCACTTTCAAATAATTGACCTTGTGCTTCCAGCATACTATGCCTAAAAAGGGTACCAGGAAATATTTTTGGAAGTAATCTTGGTAATCTTAGTTTCAGACGAGTCACCCCATAGTTGCTCCACTCCTGTGCCAACGAAAAACACACAGAATGTTTGTCGCAGTCCCTTGTGGAAAGATTGACAGACTGCTGTCTCAGCATATGCACTAGCATACACAGGCATTAAAAGCATACCGTAGCCATCAGAAGTGCTAACACAAACAGTTTGACATTAGAAATGCAGTTCATCATCAACGGTAGCAGAAGTCACCAACAGATCAGCAGTTACACTCGCGATCAATATTAATCACATAAGGGCACCACCAATATTGCAGCGACAGGACACGCGCTATTTTATGAATCTACAGTTCACAACACCATGTTGGTCACAATTTTGGGAAGTAAAAGTAACTGGTGTAATGTTGACGAGAGTAACTGTCACACAGACAGCATCATGTTCCGTAAGCTGAGGTATTTTGGCCATATGAAATGCCAAGGGGGCCTGTAGAGAAAGAACAGTGATAGAGAATAAAGTTTTCCTGAAAACAAGGCAGAACATGGATACAAAACACTGAAGATGCATTGGATATGAAAGCACATAGAACTGAAGAATTGGCTAGAGAGAGACTTTCAGGTGTGCTAATTTATGATGAAGAGGATGTGATGTTGACCCATCCCCATTTCAAATTACCAATGAATGTACTACTTTGTTTTCACAAGCCTTACAACCAATCATAAATGCACATCTCAAAACTACATAAAGATGTTGCTTCTATGTTCAAATGGCTTTTATTTAACCACAAACACTTACCTAGCAAAGCTGCATCAATTTCCTCCAGTTCAAGATCACTTCCCTTTTCATCCCTCATGTTAGACAGCTCCTCAAGATATAGCTGTGCAGCCTCTGAGTGGACTGTTCGAAGCTTCACCACTGGATTCTGCAACACTTTTACTAGTAGGTCAGCATCTTTTTCTGCCAGGGCTTTGTTTATGCCGATAACCATCTGGGTCTCTGTTACATCAAATTTAATATTCAATATCAAATGAAGCCAGGTTATTAGGTTAGGTTAACAGCCGAGCGTCTGAAAAAAAAGCCTGTTAAATACATGTGATGGAAATAATCGCTCTGATATCCCATGCTCTAAATGTAGAAAATATTTCTCAAAGCAAGCAGGTCTTGCCAGTCACACTGACTATCATCACTGTCTGTGATTCCCATGCCTGCACACAAACTGTCACCACTGTTTGTATTTACCACCTTTTAGGGCGGTGTAGACAGGGAGTTTGTAAGTCGAATGTTGTGTCGATTCGGGGGGAATCAATATTGTTTATGTTAATTAAAACAGGCTTGGTTGACCAGGGTGCTGACATGGCCTGAGTCAATATTGTAGAGTCTGTAGTGACTGAGGACCGGTGCTGACCAGTGGACTCATCAGGTGTCAACCGGGCTGGGTAAACAGTCATACCTAGTTTGTGCCAAGGAAGGCTGGTATGAGGGGGAAACGTGCATGAGTGTCACAGACTACTTAATTATCACAGACTATTCACAGAGAACACGTGCATGTATATACAGGAGAGGACAAAATAGAGCGGAGCAGTGTGCAGTGCAGAGCTGTCCACATAGCAGTCCAGAGTTGAGGACAGAGTCGTCAAGAAGCACTGTGTGTTCCTCTGTGAGATAACTTGCCTTAGGTGACAATGCATGTGGCAGTCACGGTCACCACAGAAACAAGGCAGTGATTCTATTTACGGAAAGGAATCTCGTAGATGACAGCATTGGCTGTGTACTGAGGGGACTCGAAGTCTGGAGTCCCTTCGTTGTGGCTGAAAATCCCCAGCCATAAGATGTAGGATAATTTGGCAACATTATATGGAAGAACAACTTTACCAGAAAATGTAAGACTGGCAACATGGCATGGAAGGGCATCTTTATCAAAAACGACTGACATTACTCCCCAATAATCAATACTGAATACTTACTCTGATATTCTACATCTGCTTCAAGATTTGATTCATTAACTGCTGTTTGAATTTCATCTTTGCTTAGAGCAATGTGTCCTTCTTCTCTCTGCAAAAGATACAATTTACAATCAAAGCTGTCAGGTGTCAAATAGAATGGCCCACAAAAAAACTATTCAAATTACAGTATAAATAACAAGAATTCCACATAATAAATTTATATTTTAAAAAAAGATTGTTTAATATCATAATAGAAACAGATTAAATTACAAGCTAATTAAAGAGTGTTAAAAAATGTTTCTTGGACGGCCAGAGTAACTAACAACGTTTGCTTGAAAGAAGGCTAATGAAAGTAGAGATCTGTATATAACAATCAGAAAGAGACAAACACTGTTCTTTGACAACATAATGAGAAGAGAGACATTGGAGAACATCGTGACAACTGGAAATATCAGTGGAAAAGGGGGTAGAGGCAGACCAAGAGAGATGATGCTGACTGGGCTGAAATGGTGGCATGGAAGGATATCATCAAGAGAGCTGTTCCAGGCAATTAGAGATCGTGATCTGTGGAGACTCAAGAGAGCTACGCCAGTTGGCAGGGCACATGATGATGATGATGATGTTAAATGATGTTCTCATTCATAGATAGCAAATACTAAAATATATCAGAATCAACTGCTATAGCATAGCCAAGAATGAGAAGCAATGATTATTTCTTTTCCAGTCCTTTTTGCCCAGTGGAATACAGACAACAACCAGTTCATGCCAAGCTGTTCTATGTCTATCTTTCTCAACTGCATGTGGCTCAACCTATGGCTACCCCATCTTTTTTTACCTATTTCTCTAACTCTATTTTCCATGTTTTATTTATGTGTGTGTCTTTATTATTTTCTAGATATACTGTTATCATTCTGTCTAAACGTATGTCCTAATATTTGTTACAGGTCAAATGTAACTACTGCCTATCTGTTAGAAAAATAACTTAGGTTCAGTTACTTTCTGAAAGTGATAGAAGAGGATAATAATTTTCCAACAGTCAACTGCCTTGTTGATGTTTCTTGATATTACTAACCTGAAGTTTTGTCTCCCTCAGTTGCTGAAGCTTGCTTGCATAGAAGTCAATGTTATCAGGGTTGACATTCTTCAAAGCTAACACAGAAGACTGCAAGGCCGCCAACAGGGCTGCTTTATCCCCACTCAGTAGAGCAGAGTCAATTTTATTCAAGGCTTGATTTGCTGCAGATGGATACATCAAATTTTGGTTCATTTAGTGTTTTGATTTTCATAGTAGTTTCATCATTAATTTTCATAATCTTTATTAATAGTATAAAAGTAGTAAGTATTACTGCAGAGTAGGTGGGACAGTGATCACATTACCCATCTAGAGCCAATAGCGTAAAAAAGTTGTTTACTATACTTTTTACAACAGCAGATATTAAAATGGGCAAAAAGTGAAATATACATCAAAATGTTAACAGAAATAGCTAAAAAAAATATTTTCAACACTAGGGAAAGGGTTAACGTCTAGGAAGACAGTTACATTATTCATGATAACTGTTAGAGAAGATTTATATTCACCACTATCATTCAAAAATATAAAAACTGGACAATGAACAAGCAGTCAAAGTGAGGTCATGGAGATATGGAAGAAGATGGTAAAGAAGAAGAAGAAGATGACAGGAGAAGACGTGATTCAAGGAAACAAAACCCATCTTCGGCACACACAAAAGTTTGAGGGTCTGTCTCATTCATTTCTTTGTCCGTTCATGTTATTGTTGCATTTTCATTTTCTTTTTCATAACGTCCATGCCATGTGAGACTAGTAAGTAATCATGTATGTCTTCTGTCTTCAGTAGTGTCAATCGTTTGTGATCCAGCTGTCTTGGTCTTCCTGTGTCTCTCTTTTGGTTTCCACATTGGCTGTCACTTTTGACTATTTTTTTATCAAATTGACAAGCTCGGCCTTCTGATTCTGTAGGACTGTTTGGTCATTTTTCTCCCACAAATATCTCACTGTAAAACTCAAATGCATAGCCTCAGTCTAGCGGGTTATAGTCTTTTTTCTTCCTAAAAGGAGTTAGCGTACTGTGTTGTGGTTTACAGCTATGTTGCGAAATCTGTGCCTTTCGGCCAAACACATTCAATTTCAGCAACCATCTAATTATTCTCTCTTTTTTTTTTACAGCATGTTTGTTAAGGAGAATAGTGGGTCTATTTCTCCTAACACCCCAAAAATAAGGCTGTACACAAGGAGGATAGACAGTATCATGAAGGTAGTTCTTGCCGGAAACTCACTGTTAACTTTACTGATGTTTCCCTGGATCTCAGCCTGTGTTAGTAACTCATCATACACATCTTTTTCGTATCCATCAGCATCAATACTCTGTGAAACAAATAATAAAAACAGACACATAAATAATACCAATGTCTGTAAAGATTTCATAATACAATAATAAATACATCTATGGATATGAAATTAGCCAACTTTCAAAATTCCTTTAAAAATCTGTACAAATCGGAAGGCATTACGATAAATTATAGTAACTGAATTAACTATTATTATATTCTGTAATTTTCCTAGCTAACCATAATAAGCAGTGTGTGCGCAAGTTCTTTCCTATAGAATATTAAATCTTTCAACTACAAACAAATCATGACCTTTGAAGAGAGGCAAACAACCTGACCACTTGATCATGAAGACCCTTCCATGATATATGCTAATCTAGTGGCATTAAAATCATCTTATGAAATTAAATGAGATGTTAACAATGAGCTATCATAAGAAAGAAGATCAATATAGAATCACCTTATTTCTAGCATTTTATTTTCTTCTTCTTCACATTCGCCTGTGGTAAACTCCTGCAAAAATGTTTTGATTGTTTGTCCGCGTCTGGACTTCAGTTTTGTTCCAAAACCTGAGTGCTGGGTGCACATCTGTTTAACAGATCTGACTTATCTGCCCCACAATGGGGCACCATAACCCACACAGGGATTATCAACCTATGAAATTCGATCAAATATTGCCATCGTTCTATTATATACAAATAACTCAAAGCAATATTACCTTATTTCTGGCATTTTCTGTTTTGACAGCTTTAGCCTGGAATAAAGTATCTTGGTACTGATCTTTGCTGGCCCCATCCAAATGCACTAACATTGCTGAAGGATTCTGAAGAGCTGTAAATGTATCTGCTGCAACTTGCTGGTCAATAGCCTCATTTATAGCAATGATAGCAGCGTGCACTGTGGTCAAAACAAAAATGATAATAATGTTCTTTTATATATATATAAAAAGGTGTAGGGAGAAGACAAGTTAGCTACATTTCCTAGACTTTGCAGAACTCAACACAAAGCAGTCTACTGCCAAATCATCTACAGCTGAATTAAAGTGGGCATTTCAGAATTATGAAGCGCATTCATACTGCGTAAACTGCACACGGGAGGGGGAAAAAACGATAATCATTAAAAACTGACAATGTTTTGAAAAACATTAAAATGACTCTTCTTCAGCTGTAAACTCAGGCCGAAAGTTATGGCTGCCTGTCCACTCCTGGACTTTGGTTTTGTTCCAGAACTTGAGTTTGGCATGCACATCCGTTTTACAGGTCTGGCTTACTTGTATGCAGACTGCTGCCTCTTTGCTTCTCAGGCAGATGCACTCCCACTTTGGAGGATAATGCACCCCTAACTAGTCACCTTGTGCAGCATGCTTGTTATGGGCTCCTTTCCCCCCCCCCCCCCCCCATCCCCCAGATGGGGGTCCCAGAACCCACACAGGGAATTCAAATAGTTATTACTTAACAAGAATACTAAGAGGATCAAGATTCAAGAAGGCTGTCAGAATAGCAAATATGGTAAACAACATCATCATCAGCTTCCACTTCTATCACTAAATGGCAAAGGGGAGACCAGCATCCAGTCAGGCGCTCATCGGGTGGCCATGGCCATTGTCATCCATGTGAATTTGCAATGTCTTTAATGTTATTAATCCATCTTCTCTGGCACCCCTTCTTGCTCTCACAACAAATCTCTTAAGGTGTAGCACATGAAAATTAGGAAACTTCACGCGTGAGATGTCCCAGCCCCAACGTAGATAGATCATAAATAAAATACAACTAGCAGTGATCTGCGCGCCAATTGCTAGGCCTCGACAGGCCGGATTCAGCCTGTGGGTCAGATTTGGCCCACAGACCACTAGTTGAATAGCTCTTAAGAAGAAAACTAATTGAATTTTCAAATGTGGTACTTACAAGCTGCATCATCAACTGTCATCTGTGAAGTAACAGAGAAGAATCACATGGAACAGTGAACTCATAAGAAACATCAAAGATTAACTATTGTTTTAACAAAGGTGGCCAGTGTGATGTTGACCACATATAAGTCTAGCATTATATGCCCAAAGCAGGACTCACGTAAGAAGGGTCCTTTACTTTTACTTCAGTCTAGCATCATATGGCCAATGCACGACTCCCATAAGAAGGGTCCTTTACTTTTACTTTGTATTGTTTTTAACAATGTAATATTAATGTCACTTTAACTTTTTCGATAGTTTTACATCAAAATTTTCTCTATCTCATAGTCGTGTGCTTTAGAGTAATAATGTTTTCTGTGTTAATGAATAAAGATAACATAATTACTGAACAAACAGGGTTAAAGTAACAAGCGGGATACACCTAATTAAAATAAAACAAGACTGCGACAGAAGAATTTAAGATATATAAACCAACTGTAGACAAATCAATCAAGGTTTGGTGAGCTGCTCGGTATTAAAAAATTTACCAGAACAAACACCAGCAATAAAGAATGAAGTAAATTTACACACAGAGGATATATATCTAATAAACTTCTCAGATGGGAATTTAATATAATACAGATAAAGTAATAATAAAAGTAGCCCTCATTACACATCATTAGGGCATACTAAGAACCATTATATTCAACAAAGAGAAGCAGACAAAGTTCTTTGGTCATTTGATAAGAAAAGGAGCACTGGAAAATATCGCGACTGAACAGATCACTGGTAGAATAGGCAGGGGCAGACAAAAAGAAATTATGGTGGAAGGCATAAGACAGCGGCATGGAGGAATATCATCAGTGGAATTGATCCAGACCCCCAAAGACCCAGATCTGTGGAGATGCATGAATGCCTGCACCAACTGGCAAGGCAGAAGATGATGATGATATTAAAGACATGTTATTAGACTTTTTTCCGCTTGCCAAAATGCAACATGAGAACAATAATTATTAGTATTATGCTAAGAGCACTTGGTGATTAGTGAGGGTTATCATCACACACTCCAGACAGATCCATGGGTGCTCTGATCTCTTCCTTCATAGGTGTAAAATGACTGAGGTCACTAGTCATGTGCTAATTATCACACCTGTGTCATTGGTGAAACGTTCATTTCAAGCAACTTCAATTTGCTCAATCAGTCTAGACACAGATACGGAGTCATGCCTTTGCCATTTTCCTCTTCGTGTTAACTTTTGGTAGGGCCTTGATAATGTCACTTCAGTACCTGACAAGCCACATCAACTGCAGTGTCTGGAAGATAACCTGCAAGCTTGTTGCCTTGAACACCCACAGGACCCAGCAAAAAGGTGAAGGCTAGGCCAACCATTCACAAATGCTTAGTGATTCAATCCATTCTTGCCTGATGAACCCAGTCTAGATTTACTTGAACATATCCAATGATTCACTCAGTATGCCCGTGTGTGAACTCTCCTACCCAGTCATGCTGATGTCCTTGTCACAGCTACAGCTTACATCGTGAGGATGCTAGTTGTAACAACAAAGACACCATTGATCTCCTTAATGCTTTTCCCACTTGAGCTTGCTGTGAATGGCCATGCACTTCGCTTGTCCCAAATTAATGATCAATCCATGTAAACTACAGCATCACCTTTATCTATGTTCTTGTCAATCAGAGTTCTGACTAGCAAGTCTGCCATGCCAGGATCTGCTCTCTGCAGCTTCTTTCAAGTGTGATATGGACTGTTATGTTAATATCTGCCACAGCAAGCATGGGTATCCAAAAATTCTAACATTAACGTCAGCGAGGTAACATCTATAATAAAAATAGACACTACACCATGGCAGTTCCGACATCCCTTAGTGCTTAATACCAAATTAGTTCATGGCCGATATAATTATTTCAGAACTCTCCAAATCTACAATCACAGTGATGTAGATTATGAGCTCTATTCATTGGGTATCAACACAGTAATTCCTTTTGACACTGTAAACTACTGAACATAAAGATGTATTAATGTAATTGCTAACTCACTTCATTGGCAAGGATGCCTCCAATTTTACTGAAAGCTGGCATCTGAATACCATATTTCTCCAACTCCTTCCTCATTGCACTGATCTCTTCCTCTTAAAAAAAAAAAAAAAAAATTTTTTTTTAAGCTGAAAACTGAATTTTCACCTCAATGGTAGTCAACAGAAGAAAAAAATCATTCATGCAGTCTCAGAAATGCCCAATTCCCCAACAGACAACAAAAACTCACCCCACCTAGCACGTAGTAAAAGTAGGCTTATCAGGGGATCTTGCTTCAAAGTCAGAGTGCATCTGCCTAAAAAGCAAGGAACCAGCAGTCTGCTTACAAGTAAGCCAGATCTGTAAAACAAATGTGCACGCAAAACTCAACTTCAGGAATAAGACTAAAGTCCAGAAGTGGATGAATAACTAAAAAATTTCTACCAAAGTTTATAGCTAGTGAATAAGAAAAAGAAGAAATATTTCTAAAGGGAACATATTTTAACTCACCCTCTCTCTATGTCAGATACTTTTCATAATGGTATCCGTGTGAAATGTTAGACCACTCTATTTTCTAGAATACAGCATGATGTAAGGTGACTAGTTCTATTCCTCAAAGCATTTTTTAGCCACAGACTATTTCCAGAAATGTTTTAAGTTCGGTACTCAATTTAAAAGAGTGACAGAATAGGCCATAAATTAATTAATGGGAAGATAGAAAGAAGCACTTGAAATTTCAAAGACAAAAAGTGTGCTAAGAGTACAATTTAATTTTTTTTAAAGTCAATGGGGGTTTTTGGGATACATAAGGAAGTTAAAAATATCTAAACATACGGATAACATCAGACGAAAAATGCATCAAAGATAAAGAACAGAATCATCATCATCAAGTGCCTTGCTTTCTTTCCTGTCCTAACAGGCAAGAGGCAAGAGGCAAGGCACTAGACAATGACATTGTATGGTGCTGGATCAACATCAGAGGCCAGGTAGGAAATATGTCACAGCTGAAAACAATAATGGAGAGGAAGAGAGGCAGAGGGATACCAGAAGAAAAGATAATGGACAGTTTGGCATAAATTGCACGGAAGAAATGAATGAGCAATGGCTGACAGTATAAAGCACACAGAGGGTTGTGGACAGATATATTTAACAATGCCACGGGCTAGAAAAAGTTACGTCATGTTTTAATCCTAGTCAGTACAACCAGGACATTTAATGTCTGATCTAGTTCTCGAAGACAAGTTCACCAAAATAATAACAATAAACACCCCCAACCCCCAACAGTCAGCTATAATGTTTGTCTTCCCGTAAACTAATCTAAAAGAGGAACAGCTAATTTTTTTTTTTTTTTAATATAATTTATTAATATTTTTAACATGTTAACACGGCACTGTTCCCCTGAATCTGCAGTTCCTATTTGTGGGTTTGAAATTATTCTACTTTGTGCCTATTTCTGTTTAAAACTAAATAGAACTTGCAAACCTGTAAACTTGATCTTTCCATAAAGGTCTTGAATTTGAGGTGCAAGGCCCAACTTGAAAAGAAATAGGCTGAAAATAAAAATTAAAATTAAACAGGCAAACATACAAATGTTAAACATTATCAATGAAAAGTATCCTGAGAACAAGTAAATTAAAAAAAGCTAGAATTTTTTTTTAAACATAAATATATATATATATATATATATATATATATATATATATATATATATATATATATATATATATATATATATATATATATATAAGTAAATTAAGTAAAGATTCCTTTTCATGCCTTTAGGTGCATGGGGCATATGGGAAAAGCACCCATGATTATACAGACCAATTGGCACTGAATGGGTAATGTGGCCAGCATTATGCAGGCCTTCTTTACTTCCCCAAGACATATATCTTGGTACCCATGTTTGGTTGTATAGACCTATGACGCCCCATACCAAGATAAAAATCTAGGCAGCTGGCAGTGGATTTCGATAGCAGTATGTTAGGATTACAAGTCGAAATGTCACTTACCTCAGAGCATGAACACAGTAAACAGCCCGAGGCATATTTTTGCGGTCGTATATATCTGTGGTTTCTGGATAAAAGATCTGAAATAACAACAATATACACGTTAACTGTCACGCTACCAAGGAATGCATCATACGTTATTTATAACTAATATGACACTGGAACTAAAAGAGCTAAGACCTCTGAGCAACTGCAAACAAAAAAAAAAATTTTTTTTTAAATTTAATTACAATAATGTAGATGGTTAAGTTTATGTTACATGAAAAATTAAAAGGAAAGATAAAAATGTATTGAGACATGTAACATTCAGAAATGATCAGAAAAATCTCTGGCAGAAACTGAAATGACAATAAACACTCAGGCATGATAGTTATTCAATGGCTTCCTATCTAAGAATAAAAAGAATAAATTCATTGCAAATTTTTTTTCCCCACCTTCTAAGTTTTATTATTATCTTCTGATTTCAACAAAACCCAAGTGAGTCACTTTTTTCGATAAACTTTTTATAGGGGTGGTTGGGTAAATTTGTCACCCCCCCCCCCCCCCCCCCCCCCCCCCCACCACCACCACCACAAAATGGGGCACCAGAACCCACACATGGATGTTATCTGTCACAAGTGCTGCAAAAGTGTGTAAAGAAAACAAAAATACTGAAACAAGTGGTTATGAAATTCTAATTTTGATACCAAGTGTGGAGAGATTAATTTACTGATGATTTCAAACATACTGATGGCAATCCAGTCTCCTCCATGGCTTTTAACCAGTGGTTAATATTATCTGTATGCCGGAAATGGAGGCCTCGACTCTGGAAAGGTAAAAGAAATATATGATAATCATGCTTGAATAGTATTTTTAGTACCAACAGATTTGTCACAATCCCCCCCCCCCTCCCCCCCTGCCCTTTCCTTAACTATGTAAGCTGGTGTTGTATAAAAACACACAAAGAAATACATATGCAATACACAGAAACATTACCACCAGGAAAGGTCTGTTTTAAAAAAAAATCCATTAAATAAACAAGGCACAGCTGAAAATAACAGTTAAAAACAAATTAAGCAGCAAAGAAAGAACAACCGTGAAATTTAAAAAAAAAATTAAAAAATACTGTCACAATCAGTCCCGCCCTTATCATATCTTTTATCTCAGAATGGTCCTATATTGCCATGCAAGAAAAGCCAGACCACACAGGCTTACAGAAACTCTCATATGTAATTTGCCCTTGCGTCATGTAGTATAGTGGTACTACCTGGTCTGTGTTAATGCTGAATGTTGGGTGGCATATAACAAACCTTACATTCTGCATTGTGACAATGGCTCTGGGCAGAGAAGCACATTGGAAGATAACTAGTGTTATCCTAGGAAGACGAAATGCAACCTGAAAACTTAATTTTGTGACTGAACAGACCAGGCCTGTAGTTTTGGTTGGCAGCTGGTCAAGGAGGAAAGCTTGATAGGTGGACAGACAGTGCACGGCTCTTCTGATCCAGCATCTTCTGCAGCATGCTTTGTTCCAGATGTATTGTGTTACCTTTCGTTTCGGAGTAAACAAGGCACTGCTTCTGAACAGTCAGCTCTCTACACCACTGTAGAAACCAAAGCAAGACAAACCGTCTGCAGCTGGGATCGGACCAGGCAACCCGCATTACAAAGTGTGTCAGCTTCCAGTACTGGTTTTTTTTTTGTGTGGGAAAGGGGGGGGGGGGGGGTGGCCCTCAACATCATCATCTAAATGGATTGCATGGACTGCAGGGGTGTCATAGTGTAAGCAAGTCCCTTATGGTTTGTCATCCACAGAAATGCACACAGACTGCCCATCCTTTTTTCCATGCGCTCTCTCTCTCTCTCTCTCTCTCTCTCTCTCTCTCTCTCTCTCTCTCTCTCTCTCTCTCTCTCTCTCTCTCTCTCTCTCTCTCTCTCTCTCTCTCTCTCTCTCTCTCTCTCTCCTCCCTCCATCCCTCTCTCTCTCTCTCATGTCTGTGACTTAAGGTTTGTGAGAGCAGCTTCACAATTCTGACATCACAGATTCACTTCCGATGCAGGCAGTTTAGTAGCAAACCACTGTGTTAACTTTGACAACTGCAATAGCATCATCCATTCAGAAAGCAAGAGCAAACTAATGAATGAAAAACTGCCCAGAAAAACTACAGTCAATAAATTCTGAGACCGGCTTAAGATGTCCTGCAAAAAGATATGCAACTAACTCATTTCCACTTCCATCAATAGTTCTCTGAAGGATCTGCTTTGAGAAGGTATCATGAATATGTTACATGTCCAGACTAAGCAACCTTGCAATGTTCTGCCACTGACAAAAGTAGAATCTGATGGCTTGCAAGCGAATCTACTTTGCCTCTTTACTTTTTGCACAAATGACTGGACAATAGAACTATTTGAGTGCTCAACTAGCAAACAACAATATTAGTGTCCCATGTGATCCCTGTTGGTTCTGAAGCCCCATTTTCGGTGAGGAGGAGAGACACACTGCCTTCTTATCAAGCATGTCATAAAAGGAGGCTAATTATGAATTTTTTCTTTGTCAATCTCAGTGTGTCTGCCATGAGAGAGAGGAACCATCTGTCTGCATACAAATAAACAGACATGCATGCAAAATTCTAGTTATGGGTCAAGACGAAAGTAGAGAAATAGACAAACAACTAGAACTTTTCACAGCCAGTTAATGCTAAGAAGTCTTCTATCTTAACATGTTAACTGACTCATGCTCGTTTAAGTTCTAACAACTGCTTATGGATCCCAGACAATTAATAAACAGTTTATTAAGGGATTAGAGATGTGGTTTTTACAGAAGAATGCATACAAATTCCCTGGACAGCCAAAGTGAGTACCCTAGATGTTTTGAAAATGGTAAGGGCACAAAGAAAACCTAACAAGAATATCATTTTTTGGCCACGCTATGAGAAGAGGGAAACTGCAACATGTTGTGACCACTGGAAAGACTTGAGACAGAGGAAGACTGCAAGAATATTCCTGTGTCACAATGGAAAATCTTAGAAGATTATTGTATTGAAGATCAACTGTTGGGTAACATCGTGGCTCTTATCAACTGTTGGATAACATCGTGGCTCTTTATCAGGATAGTCAGTGCATAGTAAGAACAACAGAAGGAATAACAGATTGGTTCTACATCTCATCAGGTGTGAGCCAGGGATGTGTCCTCTCATCACTGCTTGTCAATAATTACATTGATACAATTATACAGGAGACAAATACAGACACTGATGATGAAATCAATGATCTTCTTTTTTGCAGACAATCTATGTCTAATACACAACCAAAAACACCATATAAAATCTGCACAAAGTATGATATGAAAAAAAAACATAATGGTACTATAATCCAACAAGTATGAGAATTCCGATGTTTGGGAAGCATATTTACAGAGAGGCAGAAGCCAGAGTACAGAAGGCAAATGATGTCACCTACCAGTTAGCCCCACTGCTTAGACACCCAAATGTCTTCCCCCCCCCTTCCAGCAAATGATTAATAGCATTTACTTTATGCTATCAGTGCCAAAATTAACAATGAGAATGGTGCAAGAAAAGCAAATAACTACCTGTGAAATGCGACATCTCCACCAACAACACAAGAAGTTACAGGGTTACGAATACCAGCACACGAGAGAAAGCTGGAATAAGACAGTGTCTGAATTATATTGACAGACAAAGAATGACATCTAGTAAGAATGCAGTCACATCAAACTGCAGAACATAGGGGAGGAAGGCGAGGGGAAGACCAAGAAAGAGAAGAATAAATGGTGAAGCTGAAACCTGCACAAAGATAAACAAATCCGCCACCCAAGAAGCACAAGACTAATACAGAAAACCATGACACCGACTACAATCTAGTATCAGTGAGATGACAAAAGAAAGACAAAGACACCCTGTGTCATGGTATGGTGAGGTGTCGGCCCACAAACTGATATATGCTGCAGGAGATTGCAGGCTGTGGAGAGGCATGATCAGCAAATCACTTGATGAAGATGATGAGGACGTTTACGTCTGGTGCACAGAATCTGATTACTTTTTAAACAAGTTGGGGAGGAAAGTAAGCCTTCTTCAAAACACATCATTAAAGAGCAGACAAATATTGATACATACCTTAAATCTGGCCTGATCTTTGTCGTATATCTTCTTAAGTGGGACAATTGCAGGTGCAAAAAAGTGTGCCAACTTGGCAAGATATACACCATTTCTTAGACCTTCTTCAAGTTCTGTGGTAGGTGGCAGTTCCTCGTTGATGCAGGCTTCAATCCATCTGTCGATAACAAAGGTAAAAAGTCTATGATATGGGTGTTACAGCATTCTTTTTTTTTTCTTCAATTATGTGTCGAAAGTTGTTCTGTATGCATGAGAAGGGGAAGTTACTTTCTACACATGAGAAAGCTATAGGTGAGGGAAGCTACAGGTGAAGAAAGTGACAGGTGAAGAAAGTGACAGGTGAGGGAAGCTACAGGTGAGGGAAGCTACAGGTGAAGAAAGTGACAGGTGAGGGAAGCTACAAGTGAAGAAAGTGACAGGTGAGGGAAGCTACAAGTGAAGAAAGTGACAGATGAGGGAAGCTACAAGTGAAGAAAGTGACAGGTGAGGGAAGCTACAAGTGAAGAAAGTGACATGTGAGGGAAGCTACAAGTGAAGAAAGTGACATGTGAGGGAAGCTACAAGTGAAGAAAGTGACAGGTGAGGGAAGCTACAGGTGAGGAAAGCTACAGGTGAGGGAAGCTACAGGTGAGGGAAGCTACAGGTGAGGGAAGCTACAAGTGAAGAAAGTGACAGATGAGGGAAGCTACAAGTGAAGAAAGTGACAGGTGAGGGAAGCTACAAGTGAAGAAAGTGACATGTGAGGGAAGCTACAAGTGAAGAAAGTGACAGGTGAGGGAAGCTACAGGTGAGGGGAGCCATTTCATGCACAGGCAGAAAGGAAGTTACTTTAAATGCAAGGGGGAAGGAAGGGGGGATTTCTTTGAATGCATGTGTGGGGACAGTTGACAAGACATAAACTGATAAGAAACTTCTGGAACACTTTAGGACAAAAAACATCTGATGAACTAGTGACTGTGAAACTACACAATTTGCTAGAGACTGACGGGGAAAAACAGGCTAAGAGTTTTGCTACTTGGAATCACATGAAAATGAAAACTATAATACCTATAATATCAAATCAGTACTGTGGTACACGAGTTGAAACATGGAAAGCAGTTAAATTATTATTAATAAACTACAAAAATTCATTATCTACCTGTGATAGAATAGAGGGAATGAAATGGTATGAAACAACAACTTCAGGAAAGATCTAAATAAATTCCAGTCAATCAAGGAGTGAGAGAGGAAAAAACGCTGTATTGGGTAGGACAGATATTTAGAGAACCTAAAAATAATATAACTAGGATATCCTGCACCGGACCCATAGAGCAAATGGAGTAGGAGCAAATAAACAAAACATACATGAAGATTGGAGTTAGAAAATAAGGTGGAAAACATGGCAAGGACATGACATATAATGCACACAGAAGCAAAGGATACCAGCTGGCTGAAAGCTTATACTGCACTGGGGAATAAAAGGCTGCATGAGAAGAAGAAGAAACTTGGCGGCATACTCAAATGTGGGACAGCATTAATACAGTGTGCTGTAATGGCACACTACTTGAACAATCAGCTCTCCCACTTCAAAAAATAC